GATGCTTCCATTCAAATCCTCTGTGGGGTATGAAGCATAATTAAGGTGTCTTTCATGACAAACATAAAGGCTTTGTTGTTCACTTGCACATGTTCTTTCAATTGATATTGGATCTGACTTGTGTTAAGAAAGTAATCAATTATGCAATAAATAAATAAATAAAGGAATAAAATCTGGACAAACAACCAGTACTAAACGGCATTATACCTGCATTGTGAACATTATATGTACGGGAATGTGTCTCTTCATGTGTAACTTGGCCCTTGGTTCTAAGCCTTATAGCAGCTTCTCTTCTGGCATTGTCTTTTGTCCATCTGATGTCATCATTATATAAACTGCTTCATTTCCTCTGTGTTTCTGACATTATCTGGTACTTTGACAGCGGTGTGGCTAAGGGTATGGACTGAAGCGACGGTGGCACTGATTATTACATCTCAGTGTCCACAAAGTTAGAAAATATCTATCTTTAGCGTCAGTGATGTTAGCCAAACAATAATTACAGCTTTTCTAACCAGTTCAGATGAAGGGCAAGCTGGAAGATGTCATCTCAACCGGGAAACATTTTCAAGGCATTACATTTTACCACACTCACAAACACACAAACACAACCCATTAACAGTAATCACTGGGCATTAATCTACAGATGCTATCTATCTCTGGAATAAGGGGCAGCACCAAGACCTCTCTAAACATGGCTCGCCACAATTCTCTTCCCTACTTGCATCCAAGAGTCAGTAGCAGTTTTCAGTGTCTACTCGCCTTCAGCTGTGAAACCTGATTTGTCTCCAGGCTGCTGAGGAGACCGGGGCTTCTGGGTATGTTTGTGCGGTGACATGCCAACATCCCCCTCCTCCTTTTCTCTTCATTAGCACCGGTGATGACCGCCAGGGTCAGCAGAGGTCAGAGGGTCACGGCAGTTCAGGAGCCAATTCCTTACTTACTCACCTTTGTTTTCACTTGTACGTTCACCCACGGGAGGTGAAAAGGGAACTTCTAAGGATGTTTGTAATTCAAATAATTTACTCAAAGCAGCCTTTGAGTAAAGAACATGTTCCAAGACTCTTCCACAAGGTATAGTAACACGCTAGAGCATATTTAAGAGGGAAAAAAGGACACAATGTACAACAATCTACCACTGGACAGTTTTAGGCTCATGGAGAGGCCATGCATCATTTAAACATAGTCCACATATAGCGGTTCAATCTGTTTGATAAACCCCCTAGTGGCAGGGTTGGAAACAAACAAATACCGATGCCAAATCTAATCAATTCAACCCCATCTTTAATCTAAAAACATTCAAACACTGGTGCTACGGCATGTTTTTGTAAGGATGTGGTCTGGGTGAGGCTCCTGAAAGCAACAGGCATCCAGAAGGAGTGTGTTACGGAGCAAACAAAGAGTTTATGTTTTTGAGAATTCTTTTTTTGACAAAACAATTCCAACTCAAAGGACACTTGGGTCACATGGTCTTCATCGGAAAGAACATCAATTTCCAACTGGGCTCCATACACTGATAAAGACCATGCAATGTGGTTAATACACATGATGAGAAGGGGTGCCACAGGGGGAGGGTCCTGATTCAATCGATGGCCCTCGCCCACCCACTACGCCACATGCATATGTTTCTGAGTAATGTTTCCTGTATGCTTAATATGCTGCCGTCTGATATTTTACATTAGCTACTACTCATTTAAATCAGTGTAAATCATTTAAAGTTGTGTACGTTGATGTTATTTTTTTAGTTACTATCAATTTAACTCTAAAATAAAAATTACATAAATACAAAAAGATGCTGAAGAATATATTGAAAACAAAATTCCAAATAGAAGATATTTCGATCACTTTGAGTCATGTTGGTTTAAAGGGAAAACCATTCACTATCTAAAGTGGTAATGTGTTCCTATACGAAGAAGAAGAAGAAGAAGAAGAAGAAGAAGAATTTAAGCGCTAGGGCCTCTCTTCTCTTTGTCAGTTCCTCAAGTTGTGATCGCTGACAGGTTGTCCATAACAATGATTTACACAACAGAAATAAATTGAGGCATGATTTTCTTTGTGCTTTGTCCTCGATGTTTAAGCTTAAGCAAAAGAATCGTTGGCAGCATGTGTGACACACCGTCACTGAACTTTGCACTGCTGCCTCTACTTGACAACCAATCTGACGGTGAGCCAGCCTCGGTGTTATGTTTTCAACAGCTCCTCATAGCATCGTGTGTCCTTGCCCTTTTGATGTCCGTACACGCTCAACACCAGACTAAACACATACAGTAGCAAGTCAAGCAAACGCTGCACAGCTTTTCAAATACACTATGGATCAGAGGTCTCAGCTAGACTGGTGGAACATCCAATGGAAAGAACAGCAAACGGTCACAGACTCCCTCATGTGCATTTCCATTGTTTCCAAATCCATGCTCGGAATAAAATAAGTTGAGGGGAACTTATGATTAAATACTGAATTTGTTTGAAATTTTGTCAGCTACAATCCGACTTGTGTGAAGAACTTGCCAATGCATTTCCTGGACTTTTCCTGGACTTGACTGGGCCACCTCTGCAATCCCCCAACATTGGATTTGTTGCCGATCTGTTACAACTCTTCAAATATATCTAACGTGTGTTGATGATCCAAAACTGATTCTAATGACTCATCTGTAATTAGTTTTATTTGTCATCGGAGCAGCTGGCCAAATCCTCATCGCCATTTTCGAGTCAGTCAAACCTGCAATTAAAAAGCGCGGTGTTGAGCACAGCTGGGAGGATGAGGCCTTTTTTTTTTTACATATACTGGTGGCTAGGTAATGACAGAGCAAACTGACAACGACCAACGCTGCAGGAAGACGAGCAAGGCAAGAGAGCTGCCGCACACCAGAATGTCACTGTGGGGAAACGAGAGAGAAAATAGATAGGGGGGGTTTCCCATATTCCATCCTTTGTTGTGGGGAAGAGACAGCCATCTTGTGGGCTGGCCCTTCAAGAAGGGGGAAAGTTCAACCAGCAGAGCTCCTGCTTTTCCTTTGACCTGACCTTAACTGAGGGGTCGCAGGAGTTGTGTGTCGCTACATAGCAGAGATGACGAACGTGGAGACGCCTACGGTGAGCTAAAGGTGAGACGGGCAGTCTGTGTCACGAGCGCGGTCGTTAGAGCATCCCCAGCCACCTAGGGACCATAAAGAAGTAACATTCCCAGCTTTAACATCATCCTTTTTTTTTTTTACTTCTGGGAGCCTTTGGGACTCTTTACAGCATCTGTATGATGGTAAATATTGTCCCTCATTTCTCCATTTAACCTTATTCTCTAAAGGAACCAGAGATGTGCTCCTTTTTGTTTGTGTTTGACACTGCATGGTGTCTCAAACCTCCATGATTTACAGAGATTGTGACGAGCCTACAAAGCCTAAGGCCATGGTAGTATTTACAATGTTACTCTCTAAATTCAGAGTTTGACAGGAAAGCAGTGGAATGTGTGTTTATTTGAGGGGAGGTAAGGCGGGATTGGTTTTGTTTGCTTTTGGACTGTTGTCCTAACGTTAGTTCCACCACCAACAGGGATTCAGTGCTGTTTATTTGGACACCAGCTCCGACCTTTGACCTTTCCAAATGGGTGGTTAATCCCAGTCAAAGCTACTGTGGGGCCCTTGTTGCCATTCCTGCAATGCTGCCTCACTCTGGAATAAAGGAGAACTCCACCACACATCAAAGTCCATTTACAGCTCTTGGGGAGTACGACTGCATGTGTGAAAAAAGTTGTAAAAGGCCAGAGTGAGCGTTGTGATGTCTGATAAATTACCTCACATGATACCTCATCAATTGTTTAGAAATGAAAAAATCTGGAGGTATGGAGTTGGAAAGAAGTGAGCTTACTAGATCTCTTTAGGACGCTCTGTCTCTGCTTGAGTCTAGCGGCTCGAGGCTACATTAGCCACGACTAGCCTATGGGCATGGTGACATATGTGAAATCAATAAAAATCAGTAAAAAAAAAAGTATTTGCTCCCTAAAACAGACTACAAACCCACAAATTGATTTCTGTGTGCGGAAGTCCTGCATGGGTCCAGTTTTGCAAACCTGAACTGACCCATTGCCCACAATTATTCAAGTTAAATATGGACCCGACCTGTGCATACTTGTGCAATAAGACGTGTAACATGTAGAAACATGAATTCAAATCATAATATAACCGTTGCATGTTTGGTTGAATCAATCACCAACGGTTGCTGCTCACTACGCTGCTGCTGCGTACACAAGACCAGCTGGGCACTGATGTAAGTCAAGCCCTGTGTCAGTTCACTGACTCCATCTTCACACAGTTTCAAACGATCTGATGTCCCAGAATGCAAACTTTACAGCTGAGTTACAGCGCCCTTATCTTCCTTCTTGTCCTCTTTTGGCGGCTTAAGAGTTGTGTTTTTGGAAAAGTTTCTGTCAACTATTGCAGCACCTGTGCTTCGCTGCAGCTGCACGTTTCCTCAGAGAACATGTGGGAGCTTGCGGCTTTCACAATAAAAGACAATTCTGATGGCTGATTAGGCTTTATAATATTTAACTGATCATCATTTCAGTCATTTTCATTTCTGAGAACTCATTTTTGTTCTCACCCTCTGCCCGCTCACATTTAGTTCTTTATTACCCATGCTTGAACGCGTACATTTATATAAAAGGTATTTGGGATACTGGTACATTTATATAAAAGGTATTTGGGATACTGGGAATTATTCACATGGAATAAAAAAGACGATATCTCTGGTTCTGCTACATCAGTTTGGATACTTAGATAGTCCTCTAAGCAATTTGTAATGGATGAAGTTAAATAGGTGTGTGAAAAACTTATGTGCAACCATCTTTCACCTGCCATTACAGTACAGTGCTGTCTTTTATTGTTTGAGGACACATGTACATCGCTCAACATCTGCTCTCATGTCTGACGGTCGGACACGTCTGCCTGACCGTGAATAAACCTTTTCTTTGCAATTGAACCCGGCACCTAACGATTAAAATAAAAAACAAAACATTGCAGTTTTTCCAAAACAATACTTTATATTGTGATGTCAAAGACAACATGTTAGAGCAAAGGTTCCCGAGAAAAATGTACTATTTCTGTAACAATGGTGGAACAAGTCAAAAACATAACTGATAAAAAAGAATATGCATTTTATACATATGTAAACCTAGAACTGTTTGTTTATGAACCACAGTGGTCATAGCGATAACTGGCTTATTTAGTGGAATGGACAACCGTAGCAATGACCAGGCATCTGGATGGAGCCCTTTGATAAGTCCAGATGTGACAAAGAACAAAAATGTCTTCCCAAAAGTCCACCAAAGTCACATCCCGCCTGGTATAAAGAAAAAAGGTTTTCCATTCTGTTGTTGCAGTTTACAAAGCGCCCCCGTAAAACAATTTGTTTTTCTACATAAATACAATAAAATCTATTGTCTGTGTTACAAGTGCTAGATACTTTTTTTTTTCCTTTTTTGTAAAATATTCAACTGAAGTCTTCCAGGTTTGTTGATTCCATATCCTACAGGTAAAAGCACAACATGAGCACCCAAACTCCTCCCCAACAGAAACAAAAGCAGTAAAAGAGATAAGACAGTCTGGATACAGTGAAAGTACTAACGTCCTTCAGTGCTCGATCCCTTGTGCTGAAATGTGGTACGGGACAGACAGACAGGCAGGTAGGCAGTGCATGCGGACATACGGATCATGCAGAGAGAAAAGAGGAATGGAGTGGAGTCGGACCAGGCCACCTAAATAAACAGTTTTGGACCTGGCTGGACTGAACTATGAGGGTTAAAACAAAAAGATATGCCCCTCCTAATAAATGGAAATTATAAGAAAACGGAATGTTGCTTTTGTTGTTACTGAACATTGTGTTAAGACTAACAGTGAAGACAGACGGCCAGAGTAGCCAGACAGTGCTAGTCTTGGCTCCTTTTGAGAAACCAAAGCTTTCAGCAGTAGAAACCCCATGACTGGCACTGCTGTGCAAAGGTTCTGGGAATGCTCTGGGCTGGGTTACTGAAAAGCATTTCATGAAGCGAGTTTACATGCACAGAGATGTCAGCATAGCCAAGTTAAGGTGACAATCAGGATAGCCTGACTACATGCATTTTCATATTCCAACTACAAATACTTACAGAAGAGGATTAGCACCATATGTGAAAAATGTATTTCATTTAATTTTGAGTTTAAAGGATAAAAAAAAAAGAAGAAGTTTAAAGTCAGAACTCAAATGATTTTTTCACTTGTGGCTCTAATCCTTGTCCGTATCTACCTCTGTATGCATGAAGTATCACAATAATGTGAAAAGTTTCTCAAAATTACAAAAAATACAAGAGAAAGTGACGTTTGTGTGATATAATGGGAATGTACAGAAAAATCACACATCTTACACATGGTTATGAATTTAAACCATACTAAATAAAACTAAAAGAGTGATGCCCGACAATGCTCTTCTACAAATGCTTAGACCTCAGTTATCTCTTGGGTACTCAGTGTAAAACCTACTTTGTGGCGTGCAAGCACTGTTTCACGTCCACACGTTTTCCTTTGTTCATGTATATTGACTAAGTGGCAGTTGACACAAGCGTGAAACCGTCTTAACTTTGACCTCTCTGGCCATCTTCTGCAGGGAGACGCAGCATCACTCCGCCAGTAGAGGTCAGATACATTCAGTCAAAATGAGAAAATGGACTTCAATCTTTCAATCAGCATTTGATTCTTATATTTCTGTGAGACATAGATATTGTTCAAAATTGGTCCTAGTACGATAGAAGCCAGGAATGGAGTTTTAGTGTTCTGTGAGGACAGAAAGACGTGGGCTGTTGAAGGGATCACACACCTGTGATCTTTTGGATACAGGACAATCTTGCTAAACAACAGGCCACCCTGAAACTCAGAGGCATCACTTAGCTGATGAAAGAGATTACAGATGTAAACTAGATGAATTTAAAGTATTGTTGATTTAAATTAAAATTGGGACATATGGCCAGATAAGGAAATAACTGATGATCCTCTGAAATCATTTGTAAGGCCCATCAGAGGGATTTAAAATAGGGAAATAGCATGGCCACGTTCCAATTCAAATCCACCCATCCCATTTTTTGGATTTTTTTTCGTTGTTAGAGGATGAACTTGTAAACCTTAAAGAAAGAGGAAGAAATCGATCACCACCTTGGTCATTTTTGAGATGTGTAGAAACAAGATTTTGAATTTTAGTCTCACATTTTTAAAAAATACTGAAACTTTATAGGTGCAAGCCAAAATGTGTGTTTTTCTACAATAACATATAAAGACATAAAATCGAAAAGAGCGGAATGGTACGAACAAGAAAATGCAAGGTGAGCGGAGGGCAATAGCACACCTACTCTGTGGTATGGCACCAATGGGATGAATGCCAAAACTCATCATTGTCATCAGTGTTGACAGACAAAAAGACAACCAGTAAAATGCTACTCAACATGTAACCAACTGTAACCAAGGACAGTACAAGGTGCCTTCAGTAACACCCTAAAAATGGCTGACTGTATGTAAGATCCATGAAAAGTATCATTTTTCAATACCCACTTCAAAAACAAGATCATAGTATTTCATTATGTATAGATATATATATAATATAATATACTCATTTCTTTCATATAGAAATCTACTATGAACAGACAGTAAATACACAATTGTCCATCATTATACAAAGTAGAAACATTTGCATCCCAACCCTCCCACAAAAACGCTAAACCCAGAAAACATAGTCATGTATGCCCACTAAAAACAGAATCTGAACCCTCACCTGCTGTGAAGTATGTCAGCTTTACAATGTAACAGAGAGACAGAGAGGGGAAAGTGAACAAAATACATTAAAAAAGTACAAAAAAGAAGTCACTGAAGTCCACTGAAACGGCAACACAACCAGAAACAAGACACAGATGGGAAGAAAAAAAAATTAACAAAAAAAAAAAAAAAAAGTAGTCATTGACAAGTGTGTGTGGCAGGAATACTCAGGAAATCAATGTCCTATGTACAGTAAACAACAATAAAACCACAGCACTCTGTTTCCTGTTTGCTGAAAATATACATTAAACGTGATTTGTTTGTAGCTGAAACAAAGATGAGAGAAGCTAGTTGCCCAGGGGCCAAACACAAGTTGGAAGGATGGTTACAGATAGGAGGTTAATTCTGCACTCTTTTATCAGGCATGTACTAAGAAAAAAAAACTGTAATTATGCCATTGTACCTGTCAAAATGGACAGCCACATATTAATACAACTAGGCTGGTGGCTGATGCGTTGTGTAGTCTGGCTAGTAGGGTTAGGCACTGTTAGCCAGTTAAGTTTAAGTGAAGTCCCCAGTTGGTAAAGAACCCAAATTCATTAAGCTCTTCTTAAATATTAAGATATTTCTAACTGATTCAAAAGGATTCAGATTTGTAATGCAGATTTGTTTGATTAATAAAATGTTTTTGAAACCCAATCCTAGAGGAGGATTCAGAATCCAGAGCAGAATCTGAGCTACATGTGCTATTCAAAGTTGCAAGGTCATTCATGATGTATGAGCTTAACCCACTGGCTGTATCACTGGTCAAGAGAAAAGGAGGACTCATAAAGAAAAACAACTATAAAAATATATGTATACACTTGAATATTTATAAAGAGCAGCTTGTGCTTCACTGTCTATGAACAGATGTACACACACCTGCCTCACAGCACCTAGACATTTGGGGAGCAGATGTGCTTAACAAGAAGCTAAAGATGTTAAACCAGCTGTGAGTGTCTGTGCGGCACTGGAAAATCCCAGGTGGTATGGTCATTGTTACCAAGGAGACGCAGTCGTCTAAAAGAGAGGGCTGGTTCAACAAATTGGCCCATATGAGATTAATTCCCCTCTACCCCTCATTAATCTGCAAAAAGTGAGACTGGTTGTGATGTAAAAATTAAGTGGTTGGACTCTACAGAGATGAAAGTCCATCGTGCTTTGGTTTCATTATTGTCTAATCGTTGATTGATGCACCGTGCATGTAAGGCGCTGCGGCCTTGTTCCGCCTGGTGCTGAGGAGATTCCACACAGACATGCTGCCCTCAGACACAGCCACAGGAAGGAGAGGTGCAACAGCAACCCTCCCCCACCCCAATGAGGGTGAGGTGTATTATGTGTACTATTGTTTTCAGTCACGTCTCTGTGTCCCCGTCACTTTCCAGATGTTTTTGGTATATATTGTATAGTGTCTTGTATTAATTTGTCCGTCTGTTGTGGCTGAAGGTTTGGATTCAGACAGCCTCTCCAACATGAACAAAATGTAGTTCAAATACAGCTTTAAACTACAGTAGCACTTAAAAAACGACTATGTGCTGTCAGTGTAGTTTTATTGATGACTAAAGTAGCCTACATTTCTTAACTGTTTACATACTGTCATATTGTTTTGCTGAGCAAACATATGGTGCTGTTAAGATGTTAAGATCAAGATTTTATTTACAGTGTTGCAGGGGCCTTATGAAAGTCTTTTGCACAAAAATGTAATTTCAATTATTTTCCATTATTGTTTTTGACTATTAAAACTCCCCGTGCCTGTGTTGGATTTCTCCGGCATCCTCCCTCAGTCCAAAGACATGCAAGTTACGTTCTTTTTTTAAAATGTATTTGGCAACTCTAAATTGCTCATAGTTGTGAATGTGAACCCCCCCCCCCACCCAGTCTAAAGAAGTTTCCTCTGGTTATGGAACTGTACCTGATACATGGTTACACTGAATAATACTAATCCCACATTTAACTTCCTTTCAAAACTGAACCACCTTCAACTTGTGGCTGGGAACTTTCCTCTAAGCTGATATTGTTAAAAATGAGGGGGGAAGAAAAAGGAAAGATGGAGGTACAGGGAGACAGTAGGCTGCTTGCAGAGAATTATAGGTAAACATGCCAAGGTCCTCCAGTCTATGTGCCAACAACATGCAGGCATTGGATGTCTTGCCAGGATAGAAATGTTTAAGGGGCTGGGGAGAAGAGGCCTCGTTCCCAAACCTGTTTTTTTAAGGCAAAGCTCTTTCAGTAGAGTTCAACAGAAAATCTGCCAGGTTTGAAAAAAGAAAAAAGAAAAAAAAGGCACGAACGCACAGTCTTTCATTGTCAGTCCTTTTGGAATCAGAACACCTGCTGACCTTTCTCATCTCAATCTTCAACCACATTGGAAAGCTCCAAGAAATTCAACCACTTTGTTCCATTCATCTGGATATCTTAAAAGAGCAGGAATGATTCATCCATAGTGCAGAGTCACAATCACATCAAAAAGTGAGAAGATGAAGATAAAGCACAGAAAGAACAGAATAATAAGAAAAGAAGATGACTGCAGATTGTCTGTGAATGGTTCCGACTGGCATTCAAAAAGTACATCTCGTCTAGTGTTTTAAAAGCACTGGCACTCGAGGTTGTCATTGTGGGATGGGTTGAGTCAATCCTCTTATATCCAAGGTCTTGAAGAGACAATGCAACACATTTATGCTGATCAGTCTGTGCAATGCTGATCAGTGAATGCATCGCTCATCTTCAGTTTTCCGTTTCCTTTGAGCACCACTTTACTCAGCTCTGCTTGTTCTCTCCCATAATAACATGCCTTCTTGACATGGCAGGGGTGAGACATAGGAGTGGCATTTAAATTGACACGGACTGGATGAGGACACTGTCAAAGATGAAGACTGGTCTCAGTGGTCAAAGGGGATGTTTCTTTACATAGGAGCTTCCTCTTCCATTGGTTCCTCTTCAGCCCTGTGGAAAGATAATACCATAAACACTCTTGTAATACTATTTGCTTACAGAACTATGACTATAAACTTTAAGAATTGTACATGCAATTTTAAAACACTGAATTGCATACAACAACAAAGTACAGTAACAACAGTACAAAAGAAAGATAGAGACTAGGACAGCTTATTTTACGCAGCACATGTAACACAAGTGTACACAGTAATTGTTATCAGGTGTCATACACCAAACCCACCAAAATATCTATGTTTTTAACTGCTAGACATTTAGCATTTCTCACCAGCTTGTTTCTTTGTCTGCCTGGCATTTGATGCTAGGAAAGCAGTGTACAGTGGGTGTTTCAGGCCATCAAACCAAAACAATGTGCTTCAAGGGACTAAAAGCTGCAGTCAGGTGTATTTGTGGCGTCATTTATTGGCTTTCTTGACAAGAGTTAAATGAGAAGATTAATCCCTCTCTCGCATCTGTATGGTAAATATGAAGCTCCTGCCAACAGCTATTAGCTTAGCTTAGCTTAGCACAAAGACTTGAAATTGGGGGAAACAGCTAGCCTGGCTCTGTCCAAAGGTAACATCCACCTACCAGCACCTCATAAGCTCACTATTAACACGTTATATTTCATTTGTTTAAACTGTGCAAAAGCCAAAGTGTTAAAACAACATGTGGTTTTACAGGGCGTAATTCTTGAAGGCTTGTCATCACTGTGAGGTTGCCAGGTAATCACAACAGATTCCTATTTATCTTCTCATCTAACTCACAGCAAGAAAGAGAATAAGCATATTTTACAAAACTATTCCTTTAAATGTATACTTAGGTTCATCAGTCATTGAGAACTTCTAAAACACAGACAACACCATGTACCTCTTTCCAATGTGCTTGTTGGCGACAGACAGTGAGGCCATAGCGGAGACAGTCTCAGCTTCCTCTGCGTCACGCTGAAGGGCTTCGCTCAACGAGCAACCGAGTGTGGAGGCGGAGCGTTGCAGCGAGCGCCAGTATTTACCTACAAAATACCAAGACAGCGTGAATGTCTAATAAGAGATTTTAGGTTTATGGCTCTACAGGTTTTGCATGTGTGCTTTTACTAAACCTTTTTTTCTATATTAATAACATCATGCTCAAAATATAAAATGTCAAAAAACAAAAATAATTTACAGGACATATCATTCAGTAAGATAAGTACATCACATAGATGAGGCATGTTGTGTTGAGGTGTAAATAATTCACTCACTGTGAGCTTCGAGAACTTTCTCCATAGAGTGGACAGCATTGGCATTCGGTTTCTGCTGCAGCACCTCGTCAGGAATGGGGTCCAACTGAAACAAATAGAAAATAATATCAAAACATATTTCTAGCTTAACTTTTTCGACCAAATGCGAGGGGGAAAAAATGGTACTGCTCGATTTCCAGTATCCACCAGCTACATCTTGCATGGTATTGGCACTGAACCTATGCCTACTGTGAACATCGGCTAAGTGCATTAAACGTCTCCAGATATTTTTTTAATATAGTGGGTAAAGCTGGATATGTACTTTTATGAATATGACTGACAGGTGTTCAGAAACACTGCACGAAAACACAGCAGAAACCTCACTTCAACTAATGTGGTTCCCTCCTGGTTTAAAGGATCACTTTTGAATGTGGACCACAGCCCGGTGTTGAATCACTCCAAGAGGTGGGGACAAGCTCGAGCTGCTGACACAATAGAAAATAGGCCTGCAGATGCACACCTCCTCCCACTCACGGAGAGCTTTGCTACTCTTTGACACAAACTACAATGTGTGCTTTGTACTAAGTCCCACGCTAAGCACACATACTAGTGTACACAGATGCATGGAAACTGCTTGCTCACAGAAACACATACAGTACATACACGCATAATCATGCACACACTCAAACACACACACACACACACACGCACGCACACGCACGCACACGCACGCACACGCACACGCACACGCACACGCACCTACCTACCTCAGGGAGCACAGCTAAGCCTATGAAACTCTCCAAGCCACAATTCAGAGGAAACAGGGCTATTCCCCAATCTGCCTTCCCAACCCGGAATGATTCAATTTCCCCTTTGGCTGACTGCACATACGACACTTTCTCATCTCATTTTGTCAAACAGGCCCATTCAGCTCTACATTCCAACACAGACGACATGCATCCCTTTTCTGCTCAATCATAACCCCAATGGAATAAAGGACCAACTCAGAAACATGTAAAGAGAGTAACAGAGAAAAAATAAAAAGGGTTGGCCAGAAATTTTGGAGTAGAATGTCAGAGCAAAGAGGAAAAAGTCATCGTTGGTTGGCCAAGGCTGGAAGTTTTCTTTTAATTAAAACAAATAGTGTGTGGGAGGGGTCCGTGGGGGCCGAGGGAAGAGGCAGTCTGGGGAGAGGGATACTTTAATCCTGCTGTGGCACGACAGGCTACATCATGCATACAGGGATGGACAGAGGTGCACGTGCACAGAAACACATATACATATAGTTTGTGTTCAGATATTTACACTGGAGTATTTGCTATTTGGCTGACAGGTCTAACAACAGCATAGACTTAACTGCCTCATTTGCTACAAAAGACATGACAGGCAACCTACTGAATTAGTTTTGTGACCGTACATCAACCCCTCTATAGCAGGCACATCATTTTATCTAATATGATTTTTAAAAAAACTATGGAGATTAGAAGACAACCATTAAATAGTCTATTTGATATTAAACAGACACCAATAGGAACAGTCTCATGATACAAGATGATTGGAGATCTCAGCAGCTACCGATCGCCTGGGGATTTCTAAATACAGAGTAGTTGCTTTAATGGTGGTGAGAATAGTTGCTAATAAACCTACGTCCCTTGCTTTAAGGACATGCCTTATCTGAAGCAATGCTCTCCCCACATTATCTTCTGTAGTGAATCAAACTGAGATAGAGCAAATCAATTCTTAACACGGAGCAAGCTTTTTAAAACATTGAAAATGCATGTCCTGAGCAATGTTATTCAATGTTTCCACCCAGTTTTAGCAATGAAAGCTGGGAGAAAGTCCTCAGCCTCTATAATCACCAAGTGTTAAGAGACTAGATTGTGAGTCTAGATATCATATGAGAAAGCACTTGCTTTGTTTAGTATGATCCATGACTTTTTCTAAAACCACTCTAAACTGTCTTGAGTGTTGTGTTGTGTAAAAAAAGACAAGGTCCTACTAAAGTTGCCAGCAGATATTGGCCAATTAAATATGTACAAGCATAAACTCCTGATAGGTTACCTGCTCAAGTGAATGCTGTAGTTCTATCATTTACCCTCACAATAGGGATATTTCACAATCAAAGAACTACCATTCAAACACACCTGGGAGCTGGCCAGAACTCTCAGCTATGGAGCTCATCTTCTAGAGAACTTCAGAACTTCAAGATTACTTTGATTGTGGCTGAGGGGGGAGACAGCAGTTTTTATTCATCACCTCCCATCTGAAATTTTTTCCAGCCAGTCTGGGGACTCAAACCATCAATCTTTCAGTCAAAACTTACTTCAGGCTACATCTGCCAACTTTTCACCATAACCCTAGGCAGTCTCGGCTCAGCCCAGCCCATACTAACCCAGCTCCCTGTCAAAGCAGGGTCAGGGGTTCTCTGGGGTTTCCTGGGGTTCACATAAGAGCAGGGTTGGACGGGGGCAGCCTGTCAGCTTGATTGACAGCTGGGCCTCACGCTTATAAACTTTAATGGCTCTTGTCAGGATACTCCAGGGGCCCCCACCTGGCAGGTATGGCAAACACACATGCAGACATGCATGTGCACTATATACAAGCACACATTTGTCTGCCACATCATCCTTAGTGACATGTCTGTTTATTTAGGTTTGTGGTTCTGGCTGTGCCTGGACGTCTGCATCTTCATATCATCAGATGCAGCGGTCTTTCAGAGAGAGGGAGAAATAAATGTCCTTAAAGATGGTTCGCTGTGACCATGTGGACTGATTACTGAGGAAATCTTTCACTGTGTGACACAGCCATCCAATGCACTAGGTCCTCGCCAACAAAACTGAGACACCATGGAAAGCCATGAGCTGAGAGTGAGGAATGTGCCCGGTAAAAACATTCCTGAGGGAGGCTGAAACCAAAACAGTGGAAAGAGGAGGAAATCCACTTGTTCAGCAAAAGGAAAGTGCACAAGGTATCCATTGTTTACTGTTGTGTCCATGTGCATATGCTGGCGGTCACTAAAACCGGTTGATTATGTTATGCTAACTGAACAAGGTAATGATGTGTATTGTGCAAAGCAGGTGACCTTTTCGGAAAGGAGTGTAGGTTTGCCTTGTAGTCGGAGGGTGGTGGGGAATAGTCAGGCCCAAGGGGGGACACGTGAAGTCGAGCGTCTTACTGTAACTGGAGTGTAAACACATCGAATAACCTCATTGACAGCTGGTAACAATTAGCATATTAGCCTGTTGTTTATCATATAATTGCTAACAACCATGGTTCGAACTGGGCCAACATCTGTTTGCGAGCAATCATCAATTAGTCCCGAGTTCAGAGTTGACTAGTGTAGTCGCCAATGCATCATTCATGAGCTATTTAACTAAAAAGACTTCATGATTACGCACTACAGTGGTGGGGGTGAATAAAAAAGCCTGTAAAGTCCATTCAGCAATTTTCATCCCACTCTTTCCCAGCTAATTTGAGCTGCTTTCAAAGGAAACCTAATGCTCATTATAGCAAAGCTTGTCTTAACCTGCCAATAAAAGCACAGATATATTTCTCACACTAGCCAGCAGTAAAACACTGGAAGTACAAGCTACACAGGAGGTGAAAAGGATATAAGAAACACCTTTAGGATGTTTTAGTTCCAGTGTGAAGGCAGCCAAATTCTCCCTTTCAGACAGCCACACAACAATAGCACTTATAAAAAACAAGATTAGGTATGTGGGATTTCTTAACTATTTATATTGCCGTTTATTGAATCTAAGATACAAATCAGTGTGTTTTGCAGCATTATGTCAATTCTAAATTAATTTCCAAACTCTTCTGTAATTATGCAATATAGAAAATCATATGTCTATACAAATTGGTAAAATACAATACTTATGCCGTATCATTCAACCCTGATTTTACAGTTTCAGCTACAGTATATGCAATAGTTAGATAAATATGGTGACGTCTTCGGTTTTGGACACTTCCAGACAATACAAACCCTCAGGCAGTTTAAAGCTTCATAAACAAAAGCACAGCTGACCAGCTAATCCAGCTGTGGTCCCATGCCTGAGCCTACTCATTCGCTCCATTCACACTCAGCCAACACACACACACATGCACAAACTAAAATATATCCTCTAGAAATAACCCACTTAGTGGACACATTCAAACAAGTCCAAAATTAATCTGACTGTTTTGGCCACTTGTTGCACAGATTTGCCTTGTTGCACAACCTGCTTGGTGAGGCCGCAGTGCCCACTTTGCCCAAGTTTTTTCTTATTTTCCCATTTGCCATCAGAGGCCACTGCCGGACTTTTTCAGCAAATGAAAAAGAAGAAAAAAAAGACAAAAAAAGCCAAGCCTTTTATCTCTCCCTCTAGCTCAATTCCTCGCTGACGTTTTCCAGCTACATTCCAAGTCCATTACAGAGACCTTTGCTTCCTGCCATTTTGATCTGATCAGGGACATTTTAGCCTCTTTTATTCTTTGCTATCAGTTATCAAAGCTCCACACAACTGAATGATCTGCCTTTGTTCAAACAGCTGACATCACTTGCTGCCAAAGAGCCAACCGTCATGCAAACTATATGTCTATAGTTAGCAAGTCAACAACATCTACATTTGTGTTGTTAATCACTTTATCAATGCCATCGTCTGCTAACAAGGCAACCTATACAACTCTTTCTATCAGCTCAACTCATAATACCATTTAATGTTTCTATTCAAAGTTTCCCAGAGTAAAAGCGGAAACCCGATAGTTGTGACTTGTATACCGTCCGGGTTCAATTTAAATTGAATTTTTTCAGATGTTTACTTGAGATGATAGTTGGCTTTTAACATAAATTATGTTGTATTCTGATATTGTGCATATCAGGAATCAATAACAATATTGGACTATTTTTCTTGTACGATACTTGTACAACTCTCAAGCGTTTTCCAAAAACCTGCAAATAATTAAAATTCATTCCATACCTTTCCAGACTTTGGAGACCTGAATGGGTACTGTACTCTGTACAGCTGCTTTATAACAATGGTTTCCTCCCTCCTACTTCAAATGATTACTCCACTTCCCTTTATTATCTGATCTCTTGGCCTAGATTGACCCTGCTGGAAGAGGTGCGAGGGTAACCATTTTCAGATGTGTACCAGTGATGGGGCCCCGGGTGAGAGAGTGAGAGGGGTGTCCTGCAGGGCTGAGGCAATTGACGCTCCATGCCTCGTGCCTATTTTCGAATTTTCAGCTCCCTATGGCACTCATCCAGTGACCTCCTCCAAACCCCTGCTGAGGCCAATGCTCTGCAGGCTGCTGAAACCTAAGAAGCAAACCCCCCGATCTAATTCCTTATTTTTGCAGCAGGGCGGTGTTGTGAGTAACGAGTATGTCATTCAAACTGGAAGTCCTGAGCACAAACCTCCGTGACAGCAAAAAGCATCCGCCCTGCTGAAGTGTCCTTGAATTCCTGAATCCTTACCAGCTGTAATGGCAATGTTACTCTATGTAACTTTGAGTCATTGGTGGGCACAGTGCAGGTAAACAGAGTTAAGTTATTAGATTAAGCCTCTAGTTTGTGCAGTTCCCCTCTTATGCAAAACCTTGCTCCAGCAGCGCTGTTAGTTTTCTTTGACAGTTTTGGCACGTAGCAGTGCTTTCCTCTTGAGAAGAAATATTCATGGGTTAATAACAGTGCCGGCATGTTCCACAGTGCTTTACCTAAGCTCCAGTCCGTCCAGTGTCATTTTTTTTCCACCCAGTTCTGCAGTAGTCACTGTCTTCATGTTCCACACAACAGTGCACTTCTTGGTTGCAGTGATCGAGTTTTATTAATGTGGTCCTATGTTATTGTTCTGTTTGTTTTGCTCTGATGCCAAGATCCACATGGAACAAGGCCATGCATATTTTTTATGATTCCAAGAAATCATTTATAGCTTTAGTTGTCTGCCAGGTTGGAACAAGATGCCTAGGGATGCACAGATACCACCTTCAACAAGGCAGATACAGTTTTACAGCTACACTATTCAATCAAGTATTTGCATTTATGCAGGCTTAGTTTCTTTCGAAGACTGAAATATAATTATATTTGTCCATCAGATAAATTCGACTGAACACAACTATTGTAATTCTATCTATACAACTGAAGTGTGAATGCTTACTTTTGTGTTTGTGTAACGTGAACTTTACAAGGACTGATGTTTGGCCATATTAAAACAAAGACAATGTTGTTACACCATGTTATGATCACCATATCCAGTCAGAGAACTACTCTTATGTTATGCTCTGTAAGGTACTGTATACCTAATGAGAACTGTAGACCCATATGTATTAGTATAACTGTTCTGAATGTCTCACTGGGCAAAAGATAATGGCTTTAGCAGGTACAGCAGCCATTCCAATGGCAACCAACACTCAGGGTGTGCTTGTGGCTAGGCCTGCAGCAATACTTGAGAGTTGGTCAGTTTTTCAAAATAAACAAAGTTAATGCACGAGTGTAAGTCTGGATATTCACTCTTGATATGCCTGCTTACCTACTTGGTATTCTTGGTGTTGACTAACTACTTTTTGAATTTGAAAATTGGACTTCAAGATGGGTTCCCTGCTCAAACATGTCAGTGAAATTTGCACCTACCATTCACACTGAACTGAACTGAGTAGAACTAAAACACAATAACTGACACATGAAGACTTTGTAAACACTTTTCTGAGACATCGAGCTATCTACTTGTGATCACAAGTAGACAGCTCTACACAGTTGTGAATGCTTGTGAAGTTTCAGACAATAAATACACTCCAGTGTTTTAAGAGCCAAAGCGAGTTATAAAACAGCCATCTTACTCCTCTCTGGCTGTGTGCCTAAAAGCAATTATTTTTGTCCTGTTCATTAGTTCATTAGTTGACATGGACTGTGAACAAAACAGCAACAGATTACAAGTGGACTTTAGAGACACACTTCAATGCCAGGCATGAACTACAAGTTGGCTCGAGATATAGCCTGGACATACAGAATCTGGATACAAGACACTAGTTCTGAACTGGGGAGACACAAGTGTGCTTGTGCTCTGTAGACACGATTTCTTCTTCACAATTACACCCTCTTCCTATAAAGCTATATAATCTCAATTGTGTAGCACAATTCAATAGTCTTTTAAAAACAAAAGCACTGAGATATCTTGGATGCATAATGTGAGGGGAGAAAATGAGACTCAGCAGCCCGTCCAAAAAAGCACTCCAGCCTCTCCATTAGCTGGAGAGAAAAGGGTGGGCGGCTTTAAAGAGTTGCTATTCTGTTGTGCGCCATGAATCACAGAGCGCTGATGTTTGTTCATTTCCACGGCCCAACCTACACACTCCCACAATTAACCTTCTGCCTGGAAATCCTCTCCCTCTGACGTGTTTGTGCGTGTGTCTGTCTGTGTGTAGCGTGTGTGTGGTGTTGACTTCCTCTTTGAGTGGTAGAGAGAGCGTAAGGGAACATGGAGGGAAAATGGTTTTGGCTAAGATAGAAGAGTACTTTTTTCAGAGGAATGTACAAGCTTGTCCTGTATTTTAACTTAATATATCTATGCATGGGGGCATCATTATCATGCACCTTTTATTGTGTTTGGTGGTTAAAGTGAGTGTTCATTCACAGGAAAATCTGTTTAATGACCATTTATGTGACAGAAAATCTAAAAGGGATGTAAATATTCAAGAAAATATTTTTTTAGCTTCAGAAGAAATCAGACAAATCTATTTTATGCTCACTTATTTCTAGCATGTTGATTTTGAATGAAATGTAGCCAGGAGTAAAAATTAGAAACAAGTTGAGTGCAACTGCATTCTGAAAATTTCACACTGACAACCCAAATAAACCAGATGCTCTTTATCTGCTTAAAGCCCTGCATGTTCACTTCAACACAATTAAACATAAAAGCTACATACTCATGAGGCTATTAAAAAAGCTCATTACAGCATTAATGACAACATAGTTCTAAGTCTGCATACTTGTCTTTGCATACCATACTGCTGGCAATAATATGTAACCTGCACAATTAAAGGAATTTACAGTTTCAGGAAAAAATCTGACATCACAGTAATGTGCCAATTTATGCCGCTGGGACTAACTTGATCACATTTTATGTGGGCTATATGTGCATAGCTCCCATCTTAAACCTCAGTCTCTATTTAATCTCACACCAGCCAGAAATTTAGTCCAGAATTCCAAATGTATTTGTCAATTCTTAGTGCCTTGCTCAAGGATATTTTGAGTCATTTCTGAGGATATTTTGACGTTAATTTATCCCTCTTCCTCTTGGCTCTCATCTTACCTCATTGCCTAGCAGAGCGGAGACGCAGGCTTCAGAGGCATCACATATGGCTGTGAGGTCATGACCCCCCTCCAGGGCAAGCACCACTCGACCGCCTGCCAGACCCATCAGCTGCCTGGTCAGGTAGCCAAAGCCTGGACACACAGGAAATGACAGCAAAGAGAAGGCAGAGAGGGAGAGGGAGTAAGGGAAGGAGAAAAAGAATGAGATGGGGGAGCACTGATGTTCAAGCTCTAACTTCCTTTTTGGATATTGATCAAAGAAAAAAGAGAGAAAAAAGGGGTTTGGGCATGGATGAGGAAAGGGTTGACTGCATCAGAAAGTGCACTGTGGATTTACTGGGGGCCAAAAAAGAAGCCATAATATGAGCCAGGTTTAATTTCAATAAATGCAGCTTTGCGTTTAGGCTTGGTCACAGTCTTTGATCTTTTTCTTTCAGGAGAAGGGGAGTTTTAATATATGCATTCAGCCATACTTTCTTCTCCCATGAATTTTACCCATATCCCCTCTTCCTGCAATCCTCGCTAAACCACCCATATCACCCCCTGCTCTTATTTGAGATCCGCCGAATGGTTTTAGAAAAGCTTGTTGTTGGCACGCCAAGGTCTCGATCTGAATACACAAGTCAGAGGCACAAAGTAAACACAAGGCGTGTGTTTAAGCGTCTGTGTGTGTGTCTGCCAGTCTTTCCTGCTATCAAAGAATGCGTTGCAGTGTAAAGGCATGAGTGAGACTATGGAGGACATGTATTAAAATGTGCATGCATCATTAAAAGTTCTTTTGAGAATTGTTATCTATGGCTTAGAAAAAAGAGAGCCATTAACTTGGTAGCTGTGGTCAGTACTTACATTTGGCTGTCAGTTTATATCCTCCAAGGGGTGAAGCATGTCCGTCTACCGCATCAAAGCCTGAAGATACCAGAACCACGTCTGGGGAAAACTCGTTGGCAATAGGCATAACCACCGTCCTAGAATTAGCAACAGAAAAAAAAAAAAAAAGAATTTATGGTGGACACTATATAAGTGAGGCAGATACATTTTCTTAGGTCAGATAAGCTATATATGGGACACTTTGTTTGTGTTTTGGCTTGCTGCCCTCCACAGGATGGCTAGAACATAGAGATACTAAACTTAGTATCTCAAAAACACTGACAGCATGGAAAGCTTGGTGATAAGTGAGGTAGAATCTTTTCCTGTTGGTTGAGGGTCAGTCTTCCCACAAACTTGCCCTGTTGAGTCACATCATTTTCATAACAGATATTGTTGCAGCTGCAAATGTAACATCTATTTAATAGGCTGGCTGAACTACAGGATGACTGAGCTACAACCAAAGTGCTCCAAAATATATTAAATTCAGAGATAAGAAAGTGCTGCTCAACCCACTCCAAAGCTGAAAGAACAGAGTCCGATTAGCCAAGTTTTCAAGATACCATTTTGTTTGCACTTTCCACAATTTGTATTTCTACCATATTACCATTAATGTAACTGTGTCATTAATGGAAATGCGTCAAGACTTTGGTATTTAAAGTGGTAATTCAACCAAGTCTCACATTCTGATAAATCTACACTCACCTTAAAAATAATTACACCATTTCTTTTTTGCCAAATATACAGAAAATTGTAGCTGGGGAAATATTAACTAAGAAGAATGATTGACTTGCTGCAGGCTTGCTAGTTGCACAGTGAACTTATTTTATAGATTTCTCTTTGTATGGTTTTCAAAGAAAACATCCAACTAATGAGTTTGTATGTACAGTATGTGTGTGGCAGAGAAAATTACAGCATACACTTTTTGAAGTGGAAAGTCCGGAAATTTGGAGGCAGCAATAAACTATAACATCCATAAGTAAAAAGGAGAAACGGAAGGACAGATATAATTGCATGTGTATATGTGTGTTAAGTGTGCAGGATAATTCTAACACTGGATGGGTGGGGTGACTGAGGGCAGTTTGTGTACAACCTTCATCTAACACACAGCTGGTAGGGAAGGGGTACTTGTGTGCAATGTGTCATACACATAAATCAAATCAACAGTGGGGTACTGTGTAATGATTCACTGCAAGTTGTGGCTGGAAACTCCAGTCCGGTTCACATGGTTTGAAAAAAAAAAAACATGCAGTATGTGTGTTTAATACTAAAATAGTTTTGCCAAGGAAGGTTAGATTTAACTTTCAGATTTTAGAGTTGGACAGAACTTTTTTAAATTAAAGAAATGAATCCAATTATAAACCTAGTCATTTATGAATTGCTTAAAGAAAAAACAATTAAAATCTTAATTAGATAACTCCAAGTTTGGTTTTCTGTATCCGTAAGTAAGGTATCTATAATCAGTAATGAATCACTCGACTGGTCTATAATACTAGGGTTGGCACACTAGAGGCTTAGACGACTTTGTATAAAAAGTACAGTGTGTCATAGTAATCTGGTTTAGCATGATTTAGGATGTCTCACTTAGTTCATAAATAGTTGGACTTCCCAGATGGCAAAACAAGTGGTTCCCTCTGATTCAAGTTCTACACAGGAATTTTTGGGGTTCTGGGATATTTGGGCAAGCAGTGTTTTGGTGAGGTCTGCGAGTGACGGAGTACCACAGGGTTCCGTCACAGGTCCTCTGTACTTTGCAGACCTCAGAACACGGCACTGGTTTGCTGGCTGTGGGCGAGCAACGTGCCCTGAACTCCGCAGACCACCGGTTTTTCCATCTCTTGTTCAGCACCAAATTATAACCCTTAACTGCGCACACCCCCCCCCGCCACAACACAACATACATACGTACACACAGCTGTCTGAGGGAGAGGCGGGAAGGTTGTATTGGGAGCTTTTTGGTAGTCCCAGACAGCAAAGATACACAAGTGTGTGCGTCATTGTGTGTCAGTGTGCATCTGGCAACATTTCAGAGGAAAACGTCATATAAAAAAGATGAAGGAAAAGGATGGAATACAAAGTTTGAGTGAAAGAGACAAAGATACAGAGAACAAGAAAATGAAAGAGGGCAAGGCCTTAGAAAACCTTTGGGGGAGGAGGGGGAGGAAAACATGGACTAAGAATGAGTCAGTAACATGAATGAACAGTGGATGAAAGAGATGAAAATTATGTCAGCATTATGACAAGTCAAAATGTGTCGAAAAAGGTAACATGATCCGCTGTATCAAAACTTCATATGCTTTTAATCAGACAGCATTCACATAACTAGACAATTATGTGAAATGTACAACCACTCCGCTTGGAGAAGTTAATATTTTCCAGCTCTAGTTTCAGAGTTTATCGCATGTGTTCACAGGTTTTCTCCCTCTTTCTCCGCCCACTCACAAACTTACATACACACACGCAGCCTTGGCCCATTAACATTTGGACCATAAAAGACCCCACACTAAAGGGAGTTGGCCACAGGCAAGCATGTGGGCTGACACACGGCACAGGGGGAAACCTTGACCGCCAAGGATACATGAACTACTGAGGGCTCCCCCCCCCCCCCTCCTCCAACCTTGAACACAGACAGAGACAGTTCTGGTCACGATGATGAAAACTGCTGGTGTCATCAGTTCCAGCCCCCAACCCCTGGAATAATATCCTGACATTGAAGGAAATAAAAACCCACAGCAATCAATTAGCAGACTGGCATGAAGGGAAACCAGTGGTTTTAGAGAAGACTAATTGTGCGTGAATCAGAGGCTATGTATGTGGAGATGAAAAAGCCTTTCTGTTAATTAAGGGAGGGGAGAGTTTACGACTGAGCTGCAAGCTACGGGACATCCTGAGCAAAGTGGTTGCAATCTAAACCACTGCTGGCTCTTTCACGACTAGATCTTACTGTGAGTGGAATTACTTGGGTAAGCATGTGGTGTAAACTTCTGTTTAATATTGTTTGGTTTACCTAGCAACAGGTGCATGTGTCAAAGTATCAGTTGAGGAACGCTTGACTTCGGCCTGTATTAAAATCAAGCAATTTAGTTCTGCGATACATAAAGTTGTGGTTTAAAGAGAGAAAGAGTAGTCAAAAGCAATGCAGCAGGGGTCAAAAACACTAGATCCTACACTTCCCAAGGCTGAAATAGTCAGGGTTATTTTCTCAGACTCTAGAAACCTCAACCAAAACGCTGACAGTAAGTAAACCTTTTTCACCGGCTGAGTAGTTGTCCCTATTCTGGGTAAACTGGTTACACAGTTCCTTTTTAAGTCTATATCAGTGAATGTAGTTCATTGTATGCAAGATAATAGATAACGTTTTCCTTTTGCTTTGTTTTGCTTTTACAAATAATACATTGACTATGATCACACACAATAATTAAGTAGTGCTGGGCGATATGACCAAATATCTGTATTAAAGTATTTTTTAATTAAGTTACAGCAGGTGTTCCAACTATGCAACGGGCGGAATATGAAAAATGTATATCATACGGGAAATTAAAACCAGTATACAGGTCCGTCTGGTATAACTTTTGCTTATTCAAACAAACTTATATGTGTGATAAGCAGTGTTGGATATTATGCATGGCTTTAAAGGATCAGTGTAAAGAATTTAGTGGCATCTATTGGTGTAGTTGCAGATTGCAACTATGTCGCTTCATCCTCCCTTTTCAAGTGCAAAGGAGAAACAAGTGTGGCTGAGAAATGTGCAAAAAATGGGAACGCCCTATCTAGAGCCATCGTTTGGTTTGTCTATTCTGGGCTACTATAGAAACATGGCGGTTCAACATGGCGGACTCCATGGAAGGCAATCCGCATCTGTATATATAAATGTCTCATTCTAAGGTAACAAAAACATAACAATTCCTATATTCACGTGATTATACACTATTGAAAACAAACCTATGCATATTATCCTCCTAAATGTTACACACTGGATCTTTAAGACAGAACTGAAAATTTGGAATAGAAACTGTGAAAGACATGTGGAACGTCATTCTCACAACCAAAAAGGCACTGACCACCATCTCTGCCTCTGTGCACACACAACATTTCTCCCTTTGCCCATCAAACCCTCTTTACATTGACTGTATTAATAGACTGCAACTTCACCAGGCTAAACTCTCATAAAGAGCCTTTTTTCCATTTACTCTGCTCTGACTAATTATTCCTCATCTGATCCTGATGAGTACATTCAGTTTTTGGCAGTAGTCGTCCTATATGATTTCAAGTGCACATAAATGTACACACACAGGTTAATACAGCACTAAGTCTTGGCATAGTGGAAATTTCTTGAGCCAAGGAAAACTTCCTCTCTATATGGACTACTCATCTTTGTGTAATTACTCTAGTCCTTAATGTATCCTTTTCCATATCTTGATTATGCCTTCTAATCCAATGTACTCCAGGTTTCTAACATGGACAACAAAGAGCCGAAATGTGGCATTGGTGGTGGACTACAGAGTGTATATATAATGTATATTTCAACAAATTTTAGCAGTATTACTATTAGTTCCTTAGGTTTTTTTGTATATAATACACAATTAACTAGTTAACTAATAACACAATGCATTGCTACTAGATACTATATGCCTGTATTTACCAGAAATTATTACCAATATGAGCTAATTTCCAAATTTCTAATGATTGTAAAGCATTAAAAGGCCAGAAAACCTCCAAACCATGAGTCGTTACCATTGGAGATATTCAATCTCACACATACAGTAAATGGCCAGGTTAGGCCCATTTTAGAAGAAAATATAGACTCTGTCATTTAGAGGGAGCAGTGCCCATCAAACCAGTCAACAAAAGGTTAAACTGCAGAGCTTCAAGGCTTTCCCCCTCCGTTCATAAAAAAAAAAGCAGAGGAGAGCGGGAGAGGAGAGAGAGAATAAGAGAGCGAAAAACTCACACACGCACACTTACACTTCAAAGCCCTGTCATCTGGCACTGCGGAGAGCTGGTTTGAATTAAGTTTAATTCTCCTCCTCCTCTCTCGTCTTTCCAAGTTCATGGCAGAAGAGGGAGTGAAAGGAGGAGGGGGAGAGAGAGAGAGAGACAGAGAGAGAGAGAGAGAGAGAGAGAGAGAGAGAGAGAGAGAGAGAGAGAGAGAGAGAGAGACGGTGCTTCTGGTTTTCATTAGGGCCAATTTTCTTATCTTTTTTCTCTGTGCTTTTTGGAGGCTCAGATTTGATCCCCTGCAAATGCAACGTGGCACAGGCCAGCGGAGGAATGGGAAGGTGGCGGCTGCAAGGCACGCATCCCTTCCCAAAGACAGAGTGGGAGGAAGGAGAGGACCACAACACACAGATAAACAATGAGATTGAAAGGGAGAGAGAGATGCTGTCTGCATGCGGTTATAAATGTGTAACCACATTCAAAGTAAAAGCTGCAGGTGTGAGTGGTGTGTCTGTTCCTCCATGTTTTCGTGCATATCAGTGCACCTTGATGTAAGTTTGAGCCAGGGCCTTCTGCATTGTAATGAGCCTGTGTGCAGCATGTGCATTTGTATGTACATAACAAATCACTATCCAGCATCTGTAACTGTGTTACTTTGAGTGTACATGTGTACAAGCATGTGCGTGTGTGGTAGATCTATGAGCTGTGAGACAGGTTTGCTGCTGTCCTCTGGGGCCTATGAATCGTCCAATACTGCGACAGCCTCGGGGGATTAATGGCGCCAGGGTCTGAGGTGATACACACCCAAACTCTTGTTCTCCACTTTATATCTTTGGACCTCTTCCATAATGCAAAGAACTCTGATTTAATAACCTACAATTACATAAACAGAACACACAAACACAGTACACGCCTCTCTACATGCATGTTCACTCATATGGATGCATGCAGCCCTGAACTAACATACACATACCAAAACTACTGTATAATAAAGTGGTTCCAGTTTTTAAACAGAGTTTAATGTTAACCGAGTGGGCTGGTTTAACTGAAGGACAGTGCATTACTGATTAACTCAAATATGCACTGCATATTTTGCATGCTATGCATTGCATTGGCTCAAATACAGATGGAACCTCTCCAAGAAAGAGGAACTTGCATTTCTGCCAAAAGCCTGCTTTAAAAACTGGAAGTGTGGTGTTTGAAAGAAGTGGGAATTAAGAAGGCATTAAGTGTCTAATGAAAAATGCTATTGAGCTGCATTATGGGAATTATTGCAGGATCCTGTGTTGTTTGTAGTGTGATCCACACGTGGACTAAACAGCAGGATATCTCTCTGCTGCATCAATTTTGATTGATGCAGCAATTCTGTCTCTTCTCAGTCCACCACTTTTATAGAAGTCCAATACTAAATTGCTAGAGTACTACTTTATAAACAGCAAATACAAATGTGTTATTCTTAACAAGTTTGTACCGGTTAATAATAATTAATCTGCAATGGTGGCTCTAAAAAAGGTTAGCATTGATGCTGTTATACCATATTACATTATATCAGAACTGGAGAATATTTCTTCATTGAAAAAGCAAAGAATGGATGGAAAGTTTTCATTTTTCTCCCAACTGGCTTACTGGTTTGTTGATTAGATTGGTTTAAATAAGCCTGTGATAGTAATAGAAAGATGTATCATCCAATCACCTGTCAAGTATTATATGCAAAGTGCCTGCCTTTTTCAGGACAGAATCCAAGGTCCACTTCCGAGATGGTTTTGTGTAACAAACCATCTGGTGCATCATGTTATAGATACTGTACACCGTTACAAGCTTTAACATGTTTTACTGGTCAGTGGGATTTCATATATGTGAATAATCTGTTTTGTGTAATGATGTATATAAATAAAAATAGTATGTCTTATATCTTATATATAACTTATGTGTGAAGCATACTACTGCTGGCTATGGATTATAATATATATAATGTCTATAGTATGATATATTAGAGGATCAGGAGGGAGAAAAGAATAAAAAGTGGAGAGAGGGAGAACACAAGGGTCTGGGGTGCATTAACAGGGTAAGGTATGCTTCCGGGGGCTTGCGTGCCGAAAAGCTGCGAGAAGACAGTGGCCTGTCGGTTTGATGTGTTTGGCTCAGGCCAGATGGACAAACGGTCGCAAACATGGGTTAATCTTCAAAGAGTGCTAGAACCAGTCCAGACCTGCTCCTCACCAGCTGTATGAACCAGAAATGTGTATGAGACATGTACATGGGTGAATCCATGCCTGAACGTGTGTATGTTTTACATGTGTGACGGTGTGTGTGTGTGTGTATGGGAAGTTATAAATAGCCCCAGAAAGTGGATCTAATAGAAATCAGGCTTGGCACGAGGAGGAGCCCCCTACCTTCTCAACAATACATCACTTGTCAAACTGCATAGCATCACAAGGAACTAAGACCATTCAGTCACAGACTGTCGCTGAAGTAGCAGATGATATCATGTCTTACCTAAATGCAGCCAGGTACTCTGCATCACCCATGGGAGGTTCTATTCCTCCAGTAAAGGCCATATTCACATTGAAGCCTACACCTGCTCCACTGCCCACCTACAACACACGCACATACATGACCGGGTTACTTTGCATAAATTCAGACAAAGAGGTGGTCAGAGAGACAGACTGGTTTTCCTTCCCACCTCGTCAGGTGCTCCACTGCCAGGGAAGAAGTTCCCATCATCGTAGCGATGCAGTGACAGGTAGAGAACACTGGGGTCTGTGTAGAAGGCCTGCTGGGTACCATTTCCATGGTGAACATCCTGGAAACATCAGAAAGGGACAGGTTAGGGTAAACTCTTATACAGAGTAAGGGAAAATTAGTGATTCCTTCCTTAAGAAAATAAATAAGGACAGTCTCAGCCTAATTAGCCTTTGACTCTTGCAGCTCAAACAATCAACTAAACACTAAACACAGGTGACAAGACAGCTTCTGTCTTGTCGCCATAAGGACATCAGATGATTTGGAAAGTCAATGAGTTTCACAGAGACAGAACTATCAACTCCTGCACCTGCTCTAAGGCCAACTGAATGACACTCTGAGATTGCAATACTGCCAGACAGTCTAGTCTGCGTCTCAGCTACGGTCTGTTGTGATGTCAAAAAGGGATGGTCAGCAGGATTCAATAAAACACTCAACTTCACGACATCAATTAAATGACCTCATTGTCTATAATGCCAAGAATGCTTTAATACACTGATCCTAAAAATGTCCCTGCTAGCTGGAGGCACAGTGGCATGACAATGAGTTTGCTAGCTGCACTAAAAGTCCCCCTGTGACAGACAGAGAGGAAATGAAAAAGCCCTTCAAAGGCTTTTGGGAATCGCCATGACCAGTCAGGGACGCCGCTGAAGAGTAGTGCTCCTAGACACAACCAAGGCTTGGTCATATCTTCTTATAGATTACTTTGTCTGTTTAAAAAAAAAAAAAAAAAAATAAAAAAACCTAACTGACCTAACTGACCTAAATAGACAATATTTTAGGCACTTTTCTCCCTCCCATAACAAGCACAGTATACAGGTTGTGGCTGTTGCGCTGTTCCAATAATGTAATTGTAGTTTTGAACTGTTGTGGACCTTGTGTTCAATGCAACTGTAAGAAAAATTGGTAAGGATGTCACCAAAACGTTGTGATTTATTCCTGTAGGGTTACATTTGATGGGAATCCAGCAATTCATTTTTGGAGGGGGCAGTACAACTGTGCACAGGTGCACTCTCCAAGTAGATGGCAACACTGTATGTATGTGAAACTCACCCAGTCCACAATGAGGATTTTACTGACATTGAGCCTCTGCTGCAGAAGCTTGGCTGCTATGGCGACTGAGTTGAAGTAACAGAACCCCCTGAAAGTGGACAGTAACAAGACACTGTTATTTACTTTCTGAAAGTACATTAAATGTACAAGTGTAAGCAATACTTTACTTAAATACAGTCATGACATTCAAGTATATTTCAAATTGAGAACATGTTGATATGTGCATATACACAGGAATATTACAACACATAATGCAAGTTGTCTAAAAAGATGAGGCTTACAACGTGTTTAAAAGCAGTGACAAAGGAGGAAATACAAAGAAAATGTATGTTCTTAAGAATTTAATTTACGGGGGAAAATAGGCATGGATACATTTCTGATTAAATTCCTATGACACGGGCTGGATCTGATCTTTCTTTCGATCAAATTTCCAATTTACTTACATAGGCGTACTCTCCTCAGCGTGGTGTCCAGGTGGTCGAACTACAGCAAAACCATTCTGTCAGGAAAAAAACAAAATCATTCACACAAAGAACATTTCAAACAGTTACTGCAAATAAACCATAATGGTCCACGGAGTTGATTCTATGTGACCTTAAACCTGCTCACTTTACTCTAATGAGACCGTTTCTTTGAGGGATCAGATGATGTTAAAAAATGCTCCTTGCTTTTGCACAGCTACCAGCCCCCTTGGTGTTCAGATTATGTTGTGTAATAATGATACCATAAAAACATAATGACATAAATACATAGATTAAAAGCAAAATTACTCACTTCTACAATGTGTGTCGGTCAATACCAAACCTAATCTTCTCACCACTATTTCTAAAAAAAAAAATTTCACCGGCCTTAGTTAAAGATCTAAAATGGTTTCTTACAGGCAGAGTAGCTCAAAAGAAACAGATGCTTGCACCGGGTCAGTTAAGGGGAGCTTTGTTAAGGCAGGGACCGGCGGGACTCGCAGCAACTGTTTTTGGGGTTCCCACTGCTATGAGGGGACATTAGATAGATGTTCGGGCTGATGTAGAGCGAGGCAGGCTGGACTAATGATGTTGAGTCAGCTGCTGTGGATTAGCAGCCAGCCGGGAGTTTACTGTAGAGACAACTGCCTCAGCTGGTTTGAAGACACTCGGTTAAAGCAGGCTGCATAATACAGTATGTACGTAGGTGTATGAGAGGCAAGGGGAAGGTGGATTGTTTCTCTATGCAGAGGAAAAATAACAATGGATTAAAATAGACATGGGGAAAGAAAAAGAAAGCAACAGCTGCAGAGACAGACATGTGTGAGTGTGTGCATGGAGTAGATTTATGGCATTCTGTGGAGTTCAGAGAGTTGTTGGTGCAGGTGGAATTTGGTCATTTGGTTGTGGAGGATCCTCAGAGGACCATCTGTATGTGTGTAAGCATGCATGTGCGAATATGTTGCATGGGTGTGTGTACACATGTGTATGTATGTGTTAAGATCGGGTTAAGCTGAGGGCAAGTCAATACCTGTGAACTTTAACCCTAGCTGAAGAAAGTCCATATAATTCATTTTTCAGTTAAGTTTAGCATTTTTCCTCCTGGGGTGTGTGATACATTTGATTTTCATTTTAAACTCTGATATTACCAATCACACAATGTACTATATAGAAAAACCAGACCATTATTTCTTCATAGTAATTACGCCCGCATGTAGAAGAGGTACTAAATGTTAGCACAGCTAGCTAACACTAAGTGCGACGGCTGCTCTGCAGGTGGCTGTGGTGTAACACTAATAAAACAGGCCTGTTAGTGGGGACTGTTGGCATTTGCAGTGCCAGTGCGCCGGGCCTCCCTGCTGGGTTCAAACATCAAGCAGCCATTGCCACAGACACAGGAAGGCTGGCTGGTGGGCAAAGCATGACGGGGGTTGGGATGTCTGTCTGGGAGGTGCTAACGAGACCGTGGGGATGGAAGGATCTGGACGGAGGTTTCTCTTTACTTAAGGTGTTTGGAGGTGTGAATGGATAATACAGCTACTATGAGACAGTACATCCACCCATTCTCTGCCTTGTTCTCTCCGTCTGAAATGTAACTCAGCTGGAAAATGGTACAAGGCAGTCAAACCTGACAGGCAGACTAAAATAAAACAAAGTTGTAGTCACGGATATATTTTTGTGGAGTCCATCTGAGCTTTGTTTCATGTTGGCTCCATCTTAAAAGTTATTAAATGCACACACAGATTTATCCACATATAAAAGGCCACACAGACATGACAAATGCACAACATCCTTTAGTCGTTCTAGTCACTAAAAATAAAGCCCAGACGTGACTTTGGTGCTTGTTCAACAGAGCATCCGAACTAACCTTCAGTTCTGCCGATGCTACTTTGAAGACAAGCTCCACAACGGAGCCGACGGCTAGACGAGCCGCACTGGACGAATGGACCTCGTTCCAAATGGTGTCGCTGTCCACCTGCAAACACAAACAGACACATATACACGTAGTAATGTGTTATTTATATGACATTATTAAAAAGGAGCAAAAAATATGTAACTTGTTTTCCATTTATTTAGGGATATTTGATGGTGTGGTTTACTTCAGTTTGACAGCAATTGTAAAACTGTGAGGACATTTGAAATCATTTAGCTTAGTCATTTCACAGCATCAAAGTGAGTCTTTGAAAGTGGCAGTTTAGGGACTGCTGGAAAATGTTTTCACTTGGATGGAGAGAAAACAACAAAGAGAGAAACCGTGAGGCAGTATTACATATTTAGAAGCTTACTCATACAGACAAATGAGCAAACCTGCACGTACGAGAACAGACAGCATCGTTTCTGACTGTTTACTTTAGCAGACTAAGGAACAAATTTGGAAGTTGAAAACAGGAAATACTTCTTAATTAAAAGGTCCAGTGTGCAACATTTAGGAGGATCTATTGGCAGAAAGGGAATATAATATGCACTAGTATGTTTTCAATGGTTTATAATCACCTGAATATCGAAATCGTTATGTTTTTGTTACCTTAAAATGAGCTGTTTATCTATATGTATGTCTATAGATCTACAGATGTCGTGGGTCGCCCTCCATAGAATCTGCCATGTTGAACTGCCACGTTTCTACAGTAGCCCAGAAGGGACAAACCAAACACTGGCTGTAGATAGGAGCGTTAATGTTGTTCGAGCATTTCGCAGCCACCATAGTTTCTCCTTCACGCTTGATAGGTGAGGGTGAAGCGAGGGAGTTGTGATCTGCAACTACACTGGTAGATGCAACAAAATTCTACACACTGGACCTTTAATAGTGGATTACTTAATCTGGCATTTATTGTAATTGGCATGTGTCAATTTCAATGTAAAGGGTACGTCAGTAAGGAAACATGCTGGAAACTGGCATGAAATGTTCTTTATTGGTTATTATTACTGCTGACAGTTTTAACCTAAAAATGTTACATAGGGATACAAACAAACTTTGTATTTCTTATTTATTTTTTTATTTAATTGAGCAAAAATAAGATTTCAGGATTAATTATATGTATGAATGTATGTGTGTGATTATGTTTGAGTATGTTTAGACATAAGGCCACCATTCAGTGGTCAAGCCTGATTAATGCTGAGACACGCTCAGCCCCTAGCCCCAGTCACAACAGTACATCAACACACGTACACACGTACACACGCTCCCCCCCCCCACACACACACACACACACACACACACACCAAATGGACCACAATATTCTATGGGATTGATTGTCCTGGGCCATGCACGGGATACTATACACACCCTCGGTCAGGCATGGCAGATACTGCAGGCAGATGGAGCACATGATAAACACAGAAAGAAGAAGCTGGCAGAGGAAAAGAAGAAAGGGAAGGTCTGTGTGTCAATGTGTTTGAACTGTACACACATGTGCGCAGCGGCTGATGCCAGAGCTCTAGTGAGGCTTTCTGATGGAAACCCGGGGGGCTCTTCTACTTTGAATATGTCAACTTTTACCAGACAGACAACTGGCCTTTTCATCCACACTGACAGCCTTTCAGTCAGTCAACCAGCCAACTGGTACATTAACCTCCTGCCACCCAGTCAGCCCCCTCGGTCATTCAACCAGTCGGTGAGTTAAGCGACTCAACAGCTATTCAAGCCAGCCAGCCGGCCCACTTTACTTTCCTCTTGTCTCCAGTGACGGAGCGATCAAGGCTGGAGGAGAACTTCATAATAACATCCACAGGGAAGAAAAAGGGCTCTTTTTAAGTTGTGCCAAGAAAGACTTTGACATGAAATAAAACTGTAGTGCATTTAACATAGACTAAAAACTAAAAAAGAGAGAGTTAGGAGGTATAGAGAGCGCTGTTGATGAGTGCCTGGTGGAGCTAAACGTGAAAAGAGAGTGAAAGATGGAGTGAGTGGAAGACACTATATTAGCTAAGTGATTGAGCGAGTGAGCAAACGAAGAGCCAAGTGAGTGAGTGAATGGGAAACTGAATCATATATACAAGTCAGGTTAATGAGCACAAACAGATGCTGTTCTAAAGCAGCATGTGGAGACTGAGTGGTTTATTATTTGCCATGTTGATGTTAGTTTTGCCTCAAGCCAGGAGTCGGGCGCAAGCTAGTCAGGAAAAAGTGAAAGGGAAGGGGTGTTTGTGTGTCAGAGGTAGAAAAGAGCGGGAACGTGCTGGTATGACGGAATGATGGTTCTCCACAGGCTGACAGCCTAATTTCAGCCCCCTTCCTCTGTAAACGTGTGTGTGTGTGTGTGTGTGTGTGACAGGAAGACAACAATTTAGTCTCATTTGCCATTATAAAGAGCAGAACAGAGCAGCACGGAGCCGAGGCTCTTCTTGTTCCCACCACAGCAGCAACAGCAGTAAGCCCCGGGGAAGGGAAGGGGGGGAGAGATAGAGAAAGAGAAAGAGAAAGAGAGAGAGCCAGGAGGTATGGATGACATGTTAAAGGGTTGGAGATGTAGAAGGAGCAAGTAAAGGGCAGTGTAGGTGTATGTAAGTGAAGAGTAGGTGGGTGGGCGCTGAGCTGGAAATCCTCAACATTGAGAAAAAGACAACACACACACACACACACACACACACACACACACACACACACACACACACACACACACAGGTGTGATACTGTTCTAACATATCAAAAGACAGCACTTCCAACTCTGAGCAACCATCTTAATCATTGCCTCAGCACACAAACATCCCCAAACACACTGCTATGCACACAAACAAAAACATACCCCCCACCATACCAATGCACACACACACACACACACACACACACACACACACACACACACACACACACACACACACACACACACACACACACACACACACACACACACACACACACACACACACACACAGCTTGTATGCTGAAAACATCTGGTTATAATTACAAACACAGCGGAAAGGCAAGCAACAGCTTTTGTTGCCTCTGGTCCTTGAGGGGCGGTGTTTGTGCGTGTGTGTGTCAGTGCATGCGAGTGTGTTAAGACTGTGTGTGCGTTTGTTTGGTGGAATGAGAACAAATGGGACCATTATTTAAGCAGGGGGCAGAGAGAGAGAGTGGGCGAAGGGAAACACAGTTATTATACTACTATTTGATGATGCTGAAACTATGCTTATTTGTGTCATTACAAAATCAGATGGAGCAGTGCCAGATGGGTATTGATTAGATTACCACAATGTTGTAAAAATGTCTATTACAACAATTTTCCACTGAATAAACCAGCGTGACTAAACACTGGTAATTTCCAAGTAATATCAGGCACACAAATTGCAAATACTTAATTACATAGTGAATATTTATAAAATGACTTAAGCTTGGCTTAACTTACTTACCCCCATGCCTCCACATGGTAACCTCACAAATATGGGACTCACTGAACCTGAAACAAAAAAGAAAGATATTGAGAATCAGAAAGAATAATAGAGAAAGAAAGAGCAAAAGGTCACCGGGGGAAGAGGTAACTTTCTAGACTCGCAGGCCCAATCGGCTACGTGACCCCTCAAACTGAGCATTTGACTTTCTGACCTAATCTAACAGCGAGAGTATACAGGGGCATGCTTTAATTGGGCAAGGTGAAGAAGAAAAAAAAGTATCTCATTGCCCTGATAATCAAAACACTCTCCTTCTTCAGGGGGGAATCAAGATATTAGGCCAAAAAGAGATCTGTTTTTTCATAGAAAGTGGAAATGAATAAACTTCAGTTTTCAGACAGGTCAGAACATAAACAGAAACTAGCTGGTCTGGAAAATTAAGTTTCCTCTAAATGACAAAACCTTTACTTTTTATTTTATTTTATGTCTGTTCAAGCAGCATACACAACTTTTTATGTAAAACAGATCAAACTTTTTTACTTCAGCAGATGTGGAATTCTGCTGCCCACTGCTTATTCTGTTAATACATTTTTCAAGAAATGTTTTAATGTAAAAACGTAACAGCCCAAATTTTCAAAAACATTAAACTAATCTCGATCCAGTGTTGACAACTGGATGAGTGTAAAGTTTCGTGAGGATCTCAACGGGCAGAGAGTGGCACTCGCGTTACCAAGGTTAGAGGTCCAAGTGTCATTCAGCCGAAATACCAGAGCTCAGCAGTGTCTGACAGAAAGAATCAATCCTAAACCAGATATTAAATACAGTGTCTATGAATACTTTAATCCCTGACTAGTTGCCACCTCTGCGGGTTTATAACAGTTTCCATTTCCACTTTCTTCATCTCCATTTTCATATTTTTTATACGTGCAAAACCACCTGTATGTAGAGCCTTACACAGGAGTGTCTGGTAATTCTCCTGTGTAAACAGTAATAACAAGGGGAATTTATGTCTCCACTGGAATGAAAGCTAAGATGACCACTGGGGTTTGCCCATTAGGTTTTTGAACATACACTCGCACATACACACACAGAGACAGCCTCAGCTACACCTGCACTTTAAGCCACAAAGGCCAGACCTAAGTGACTAAGCAGCCTGTGCGACTTTTAGTTAACAAGCTTCAGCGGGTCCTCACCATATCGTAACACCTCCAGGACTTTATTAGATTGGACCTTTTGCCATGGCACGGTTTAAGCATTAAAGCAGATTCCTTTAGCAGACGCTGCAGATTCTTAGACTCAGATCTAGTCTGCCTTATGTAGCATGTATACATGCAGATTGATAAGTACATTGTGTTGTCTGCTTGTAACCTGTGTGTAAAATACTGTGTTATTACTATTACTATTTACAGTGTCTCAGCATTCATTTATTACAGTGTTAAAGCTTCCATGTTTCAGTAGACTTATTATGAATAAGCAGGTAGACAACAGCATGGCTGGCACTCAGGTTAGTTTGTAATGAGCGACTGTGTTATTTTGTGTCTTACAGTCTAGTTTCTGCCGCAGTGGGTTGGTTCCGTACAGCAGGACATGGGCTTCAGAGTGGACCGTCTGTAACTCCTCCAGTGAGGCCTTCCTACCTCGGATACACTGGTCACAGAGTAAGATAGAGGAGAACACGCAGATGGAAATAGACAAGATGGAGAGAGAAAAAAAAATGCCTTTGGTTAAAACTCCCAGAGACACAGTGAAGTGCTGGAAGAAGGTAGTCACGATGTTATAAGTCCGGGATACCATGTCCCGCACTCAGGAAGAAGTAGTGCACATAGGGAGGTCCAATGGTGTCTGCATGTGTAAATCAGAATTTAGGAGGTGAAACTGGTTCATTTTAAAGCCATTACCTCCAAAATGCATTGATTTTATTGGTAAAGCCAAATGTCAAGAGAAAATGGCCACACACTGCCCCCTTTTGATCATCATAACAACCTGCACTTCAGAGTTTAAGAGTGGCATGTTGTACATTCTTAACCTTTGAGGTAAAAGTATTTTATTTTAATGTTTTTTAACAGAAAGAAACAACAGTATACAGTGAGTACACAGAGGATAAGACAAAATCACCACTGACACGTTAATAATAATGCTGTTCACACAGGTGTAAAGAAAATATTGTTATGGTCGCATCTGTATAGAAACAATGCAAGTTATATTATGTACTACTCTTAAATAATAATGCTGTTTATTCTTATTTTTAGTCTCGGTCTTCTCACAGTTAACATTCAATGACTGAAAGGATAATTTACCTTTGAATGCCAGGTACTTATCAGTTTCTCTCCACCGGTATGATACAGTGCATGTCCCATAATATAACAACATTCAATGATTTTACAGGAAGATGGAGAAATGAAGCGTACATAGTGTAATTTATATTTTATCTATTATTTTATATGTATTGTATCTATCCAACACTATGTCTTATAATGTTATGTCCATTGGGCCATACCTGTGGTCAAACGTAACTGTGGCCTTACCTCGCAGTGCGCCCTGAGGCCTGTTTCTTGTAATCGGGACCAGATACTCTGGATGCGGCCAGCGTGCTCTGGATGACTGGTTGTGTTCCCACACATACACTGGTGCTTCTGCATCAAAGAGTCATACACCAGACCTGCAAAACACACATTCCACCACACACAAACACACACTGAGTAATTGTATATATTTGACAAGAACAGGAACGGTTGTCACAACAAGATTCCTATAATCACACCACAAGTCTAATGGTGTGATTATCTATGGCACCTGCTTCATCATAAACAAAAGGTCATGTGGAGAGGATTAGGTGATGTTACAGTAAATTATACTTGTAGAGGGTTATGTCATGAAGGGGCCAAGAATACCAAGCAACAGCCTTGTGCATGTACACAGCCATTATTTGATGGCTCATCATGGTGTGTGGTTTCTTCTAACCTGCAATCAGCAGAATGAAAGTGTGTTTCTGGATTGCTGTTTGCTGCTCTACGCTATGATCGATCGCTGTGTCAGAGTGGTACTCACATCAATGAAAAAGCAACATCTTCATATTTAGCTGCAGTGTTTATGTGTATGTGTAAGACTCATGATATTATACATTTTCAACAGACCTGTTGTAAATCGAGGTTTGGCAGCCGGCTCCTGTACTACCATGGGGAAGGAGGCGGAGGCTGGAGAGGACTGAGCCCTGGAGAGGGGGCGGTGCCCGGCAAAGCTGACTGATAACCCGGCTGCTTCCAGAGAGGCTTGGTAGTTCCTTAACTGGTGGATCCGCTGCTGCTCTAGCAGCAGAGCCTGCTGCTTACACACACAAGTACAGACACAGTTAAATGGACTGTATGTATGCTGGAGTGCAATATCTTTCTCTTGCCAGAAGATGGCACTAGATACTAGTAAATTCCAAGCGGCTGTAATACACAATATAAGCTGAATTCACAGGAGTTTTTTTGTGTTACACAGTGACTTACTGCTATTTTGTTCTGTACAGTACCACCAAAATAAATACCATAAATATGGTACGATATCTGTCGTATGTTTAAATGACATGTTATTAACCTGCAGGTTTTAAAATACCTTTCATGTATACCTTCGGTTAAAAAGGCTGTACTTAAAGCTGTATAGATAATGGATACTATTAATAAATAATATAATACAAAAAAAATATATAAAAATAATAATAAATATATAACCACTTTAATCCCAACTTGACTTTACATAACGATTTCTTTCTTCATGTAACTATAAAGGGAGCTGCCTAGAACACTAGCCAAATAATAATCCATCAAACTGCTTACCATACAGCAAGCAAAGTGAGAAATCAATTTTTGTAACGAGTACTTAATAATGATTTCATTTGAAAGTGTCCCATGTAGGCACTTGGAAACGTGGACATTGGAAATATGTGGGGGATCTTTCCACTCAAAAGAGTCTCACCAAGCAGTCCTGTTGTTCAATTCTGATGGGCGTGTCTGCTTACACTATGGGCGCCATGGCGACAATGAGAGGAGTGCCTGATTGAATTTGGCTGAGCGGACAGCAGGGATGGGCTAGACAGATGAGGACATGGTGTCCTGACTGAGTATGGGTGTGCGTGTGTGTGTGTGTGTGTGTGCCCACAGATATCGAGCAATATACAGATAGAGAATGTATGTTGTATGCACCCATGGACAAGTGATTCAAATTCGGAGACATTGTGTGCAATGGAGTGTTTTTGTGTGGGTGTAGAGTGTGTTGAATGCACGAGAATGTGATTGTCCATATGGAGTCGTGTTAGGGAGTAGTGTGGAGGAGGCACACAAGCCCCAAGCCATTCACAGAAAAGACACTACTCTTGCATTAGTAGAACATGTGTAAGTATTTTTTGCATGATTTGGGAGAAGACATGTTAATACAGCTTAAAATATGCCGAAGAGTGGGCTGGACAGACTGTCAGGAAGGATCGAATGTAGAGTGTAATGTTTCAGTCAGTCACTGCTGGCTCCATCTGTCACTGCTGTCAGATAATTCTCATCAATTTTCCTTAAAACAAGTGAGATTCCTCCATAGTGTACTTGATCTCCCTGTACTCCTCCTTGTCCTCACCTCCTCCACACTGCATCCTTACCTGCCGGAACAGGAAGTCCTTCTCGGCTTGTCTCTCTCTCTGCTCCCTCTCCTCCTGCTCTTGGGGGTCTGGGGGCTCCTGCTTGATGACCAGCCCTCGCAGAGGCCCCGTCTCCTGCACAGACGTAGAGGAGGAGGACGAGGAGGAGGAGGAGAGCCCTTGGTGCTCCCTGAGTTCCTCTTCTGTTTCCTCGGGGTGACTTTGGTGCTGCCTGACTGGCCCTGAGGCGCTGGAGCTTGCACTCGAGACCTGATCACTGGGCTTGGACATGATCTGGGGGACAAAAAAATAGAAGTTAAGGTGAGATGTTTCACAGTGCATTGCTCAGATTTCCACTGGGTTATGCTGGAACACTCTCAGGTGAAAACTGTGTCAGGTCACTATTGAAGAATGAACTGATATTGGTATGGGATATAGGAAGAGAAAAGAAAAAGAACCAGTGACTGCAAACAGCAGAATTGGACACAGAGAACCATGTATAAAATGAAAAATGTTATATACTGCCAAGAGGACAGTTTTTGTTTCAGAGGGTGGGCACAATGAAATAATATAAAATTATTATATATGTCTTAGATATTTGAGGCTGGAAAACTGAGAAAAAAAAAGACTGATCATAATATCAGAAAAAACTTTAGGAAACCAGAACCCAATAAGACAAAAACAAAACTTTAGCCTCAACAACATGAGAAAAGTGGGGAGAGAAAAGAAAACCTGCCCTATTAACTGAGAGAACATCAGGGACAACAATGTCTGATACATGGCTTTAACACATGCTGGTCAACTGAAGATGTTTTTCATTCCAAAAATAGCTGACTGATGGGTTGGAGCACAAAATAAAACATTGTAAAATGACCTTATGTTTAACCAAACAAAAGCTAACATTAGCCAAGTGCTTGTACTTTCTGTACACAGGGAGATAAACCAGACTTGTACTCTGAACTCTGATGGGTTATTTATTTGTTAAAAAACTCCACAAATAATTCCCATTAGCCTACTTTATTTTAAATATATTTACATACTTACTTACTTACAAACTTTACTATGCCTGGGCCTGAACAAGAGGACACAACTGAGCAAAGAACATGAGGGACAAAGAGAGGAAGAATTGTAGAAGAGTGATTGTGGGAATCTTGTTGTGGCAGCTGTCCCTGTCCCTGTCCCTGTCGTCAAAGACCTCAACCTTGATGTGTAGGTCATGATTGGAGTGGACCACTGTTTGTGCATGGGACACACACACACACACACACACACACACACACACACACACACACACACACACACACACACACACACACACACACAGACACACACACAGACACTTGGCTGGCATATTGCCCAGGGAACAGTCCATTGACGTCAGAGAGCAGGCTCTTGCCTCATCCCAGTCCCTCTTCTCCAAACAAACTCAAAACACTCATCCACTCCTGCTACTCTGATTCTCACTCTTCCTTTCTCTCTTGCTTTGCTCTCTCTTTCTCCCCTTCCAGACCTCATTTTTAAACAGAGAAAATAGTTGCTGGGATGTGAACCATGAGGGGGGCAGACACTACATAAGCCTGTTGAACCAGCTGGAATACAGAAAGAACAGGAGGTGGAGAAGGGAAGGCGGTTGTATACACAAACACTTGACACTAGTTGACTCTTGTCACTATCTGTCTGTGTCACACACTTCCACAACAATATCATGTAAGTGAGTACACCCCAGAATTTGTCTTTGCTGTCTCAGGTAATTAATGGTAGGCAACAGGCTCGGGTTGGAACCGTTTCAAGATTCTTTCTCTGCTGCCAACATGTCTGACTGTTAAAGCCAACTTTTAGGTTAGCAGGAAGGGCCCCTTTTCATTGCTGACTCGACTAAAAAAATGTGAACAAGGAAAGGATGGAAGGTCGCGGATGATTCATGTTTTACAAAGTGGTGGATGTCCAATGGTGAACAGGATAGATCAACGAAACTAAACACGGGTCGCCCTGGTAGCTCACCTGGTTGAGCATGTGCCCCGTGTACAAAGGCTTCCAACCCAGGGCCCTTTGCTGCATGTCATCCTCTTTCTTTCTCCCAACTTTCCTGTCACTCTTCAGCTGCTTCTATCAAATAAAGGCAATAAAAAGCTCAAAAAAATAATCTTTAAAACACCATACCATACCACTGGGACATTTGTAAGGATAGTTTGTGATACTAAACTCATACATACTGCCCGTGATGGTCTATTTTTTTATTATCTCTATAATAAAAACTGGTATTAAATTCATTCAGCAGACACATGCTGTTATACTTTCTCATGGTAAATAGAAAGTGTTTTGCAAGTGTATTGTTTTCCAGAACCTGACTTTATTATGCAGCAATCAATATTATTTCTTGGGGGTACTTCACCATTTTGCATTCTGCTGACAAAACAAAGTAAGAACTAGCTGGGGACATGTAATTTATTTATATTACATTTTGTAAGAATGGGACTCCTGGGTGTATTTCCAGTGATTGTAGACCAGCCATATGTCAGCGAGCTGGATCTTTGCAACTTAGGGAAAAGCAAGTATTTGAGATGGCTGCATTTAGGTGTCTGTAGATGCCACTGTCAGAACCTTTTTTTTGCAGTGCACTAAATAACGACATTAATAAGTTGCCAGGTTACGGTGCCAATGCTTTGACTGTGCATCTTCTGTGCCACTATTACACAACTCACTCATTCAAGGTTATTCACTGATTTTTGCTTTCGATAAACACAAAGGTTTGGCTTAATGCTGACAAACCACTGAATGAAGCAGGTTACGCTGCCCGACTTATCTCAGTGAGTAAGTCAGTGAGTTCCTTACATATTCCAGGTGATATTTGGAGTATGGGTTACATTGTTGAAATGAAATTATTTAAGGTAATTTAACTTTTCGAGCTATACACAATGTTGTCTGGCCACAGTTAACTGAACAACCACCATCCTCTCTGTGTCTCCACAGCAACACCTTCAACTTGTCAAGTTAATTGAACACTTTAATTTAAAAAAGAACCAACTTGCCTGAAGAAGACAGTGGTAAATTGTGATAATTCCAACTTGTGTATCAGGAAATGCTTCAAGTATGTGTAAGGAAACGATTAAGCAGGAGATAAAGCACACTCTGGACGCACTAACTCCAAAGACAAATATAAATTATTCAAACCTGCTACAGGCTATCTGGGAGGAAACCAGAGCAGCTAGATGAAACCACACTAACACACAAACTCTACAGGCCTCAGCTGGCCAGTAGGATCAAACCTGTCCCTGTTTTCTGAGAGGTAAATGGGTGACCCTCTGTGCCACCGTTCCAGCATGACCATATTCATAAATATCTCAGGGTTATATTATTATTGCAGAGTGCAGGTTAATGTAACTGCTGATAAAGTAAAGAGGAAGTGCAGGGAATATGTTTTTATACCTGTTAGGTGCAGATTCTCTCAGTGATCGAACAGAACGTGAGCAGCTTTAAAACAGATTGGAGGAGCTTACAGTGGTAGTAATTATGTTGATGATGGTGGTTTACGCATTTGGTTAGCATTTCTAAATACTATACACCTTTAATTTGTCCAAATTAAATTAAAGCATTGTTTGGGAAAGGGCCAAAGGATTTCCCTTTGTTATCTGTGAAAACATCTTTCGTCCATGTGATACTGCACTTGCTGTCTGCTCAATACTCTCTGTGTCAGAAAGATTGTGTTTTCTTTCCTTCTTTTCTTCTCTTTTTAAAGGAAATTACAAACATTACTTGTATTTCATGATCCAACATTACTTGTTTGGAGCTCTAGATTAGGTACTGTAGATATGTGTTGTGCAGTGATGAATTATCTGGTTATTATCCAACTGGATTGTCTCCCATAAATGTATTAATTAACACAAATCTACATTGAGTGGTCTGTGATTTGATACACTGAATTAAGTAAGGAATCCTGTTTGATGTGTGAAAAAGGATTCCTTCCCTAACACAATGAATTTAAATCATAGGGCCAGAAGATGCCCACAATAATTAGACTTGCCCTTTTTTGATTTTGGAGTTCAGTGCATCATATACCGTACCTACAACCTAAACCAAAGAAAAAATGTCATGTTACAAAATTCCAGCCCAAATACATTTTCTATTTTTTAATATGTAATGCAAACTCATTAGTCACAATACTTATTTCAAGCTGCCTGGAAAAGAGCATTAACACAAACTAACATGAAAATATCCTGGTTTTACACCTAAGCTGGACTTGTCTCGAGGGAAGAGGGAGTCACCATCAGCACAACAGCACAAGTTAATGGAGCTTAATCCTACAGGAATTTTAGCACACATACACACACACACACACGGATGCACACGCAAACACAAACAACCGTCTCCCTCTCTACAATGACCTTATAATGCTGCAAATCCCCTCATCACCTTGTGCACACACACACACACACACACACACACACACACACACACACACACACACACACACACACACACACACACACACACACACACACACACACACACACACACACACACACACACACACTTCCCCAATGATGCAGTGAGTCACACTTCCTGTGTGACCATATATGGAGGCAGCTTCCTCTAGAGCACAGTTGCCAGGGTGACAGGGGGAAGTAGGGATACACGAACACAGACAAGAAAGACTTGCTAGAAGACTTGCTGATTGCAGGCTGATTCATCCTTCTCTTGGAGCAAAGACAGGATTTACAGACATTAACCAAATCAGCATCATGTAAATTACAAATAGTCCTACACACACATGTGCAAACTCCTAAACACACTTGTACCAACATACACATGCACACATATATCTGGCTGCAATACCACGACTGTTCAAATGTTACCTTAGATACCATTCCTGACACATACATGGACACACACACACAGATGTGCTGTATGGTACCAATGCAAACACACACACACACACACACACACACACACACACACACACACACACACACACACACACACACACACACTGAGCTACCTTGTTGATGATGTGCTGCTGCTGCTGCTGTTGGAACTGTTGTTTGTGTTTCTCCAAGAACTGCTGGTGCTGCTGCTGGACCACCAGTTGCTGCAGGGCCTGGGCCTGGCCACATTGCTGCTGGGGCAGAGGGGCTGACTGGGTTCTTCCAAGGGGACGGTGGCCCCGTGCAAGTTTGGAGACCGAGGGTGATGGTATTGGGAGGCCAGCCAGACCCACTGTGGTAAACACAGAGTGGTCACAGGAGAACATTATAAGCATTTTTTTTTAATAAGCTATGTCTTATTTCTGTAGTCTTGCCCGTTGTGTACTTACTTTATCCCAAATGTTTATCACAACATTCAATCCCAGAGAAATACCTCATTTTATTTAGGTAATGTAAGTTACTTGCCTATAGTTGCTGAGGCAAGACCATCTGCAAACGTGACTAAACCTAAACATAACTTGAATAAAACTTTACAATAATAAACCTTGTCCATGAACAACTTCTGTCTGAGTCACATCAGATATATTTTTATTGGCAATGGCGGTTGTTTAACAATGAAGACAACATCTCCAATGATCCATCACAATGTCATCAAACTACGTCTTTTGTTATTGTTTTGATATGAGGGATCCCTAGATGCAGAAATTGCATATTATACATTTAAATCAAATTTTCAACAAAGGAGATTATAACTAGACAGTTTGGGTACATTTATCTTCCTTTTCACTTTCCCTTTTACGAGGGGAAAAAAGTGTGATACATCATAATTATGATTCCCCATAGAGTCTGTTGTGTGTAGCCTTGAATGTTCTGATAATCCCTATAAATAAGACCTCTTGTCACTAATTTGGTTGCAAAGCTTACAAAAATGAATCACAGGTCACAAAAAATAAAAAAAAGAGAATAAGTAGAAAAGGTACAGGTCAAATTCCATCTAAGAGTTGTGCTTTTTAGCTTAAAAATAACTATGCAAGTCAATAACATAAAATTATACTGTGCTTATACTATACTCATTTATAGGTACTAATACTGACCCATTGGATTGTGGCCCTGCTCCAGCAGCACCATGTGTTGGAGGAGGGGGTTGTGACCAGCCGTACCCCCTCCAGCTCCCTCCCTGTCCAGAGCTGAAGATGCCAAGTAGGAGGGCAGGTGGGCAGTGGGCAGGAATGGAGGGGTCAGAGGAATGCCCTGCTGTAGCGCAGGCAATGCCAGACGACTCTCACCATCTTGGTGTCCCGATACCAACTATAAAGAGAGACAGACATTGAGACACGAGGATAGAGAAGGAAAGAGGCAGACACATAGAGAGGCAGATGGACAAAGACAAAGAAAGGTCAAATGAGACAGAATGGGAGTAAGATGGAGAAAGGGAATCAGAGGGGGGAGAGAGAGAGACATGTACAGTAAGGCATCTTCATGCCAAAAACAGCTTTCCCTTTTTTAATTTTTCTATGCATAAATGACAACAGTATAGACTGGCCTACTCTGTAGTGCATAGACTAGTGAGTGCTGATTTTAATGAACCTATTATTATTCTCTGTAGTAAACTAAGAAGGCAGAAAACCATTAAAGATACAAAGGTACATTTTGGGTGCATGGTTTGAAAAACTAAATATTCTTTGGAGTAATTAGTAATGCTTCATTACAATATTGTGCATTTACTGTACTCACAGTGCTAGCAGGGCCTGTAGCTGGCAGTCCCAGGGTGATGTTGGGCAGAGAAGGGGAGGTGTAGAGAGAGAGCTGGCTAACTGAACCTTCCCTTGCAGCCAACCTCTGAAGCAGGGAGGCCTGAAAACACACAACCACACAACATTACAGTAAATACTCACAGAGCTTATACACAAAGTAGACACAGTGTTAGATACAGTGCTTTACTTCGCCTCCTTTTCACACACACACACACACACACACACACACACACACACACACACACACACACACACACACACACACACACACACACACACACACACACACACACACACACACACACACACACACGTGCATATACAGTCATACACATGCACACACTGGCAGCCATGTTGGTTACCTCTCCTGGGCTGCTGGAGATGGTGACACCGTTCTCACTGGGGATGTTACTGGAGCTGTTGTTAGGGGAGCTGGGACCTGAGCCTGGTGCACTGTTGCATGCAGACTCTAGAACATACACAGCACAGACATTAGATGTTTCTAACATGCTGTCCGGGGCCAATCTGCTTTGTGAGATGAAACATGACACTATTATTTCTTGACCTTATTTTGTTATAGCCCTTTGGGGATGCATTTATAATTTAATTTAATTTCAATTTGTTTTGTTTTTTTTACATCCAAACCTCACCAAAGTGAATGATGATTGTATTTAATTCAATTAACAGTTTTAGATCAAAATTCATGTTGCTAGGCAAAATCCAATTATTGATGTTATATGGGCTGGAAAGGGGATATTTTAATCGTTTCCACTTGTTTAACAAAGAACTGAAAATCTGATTCAGCACATCTGAATCATGATACCAAACTAAAACAGAAGAAATCCAGTGAGAGCTCACCAGCCACGTCTAGGGAGCGCTTCTTGGCAGTAGTGATGGGGCCATCTTTCCTCCGGAGCAGAGGGCTACTGCGGCGCTCGGTCACCTTCTGCTTTAGCCGGGAACGAAGCTTTAGGTTGGGCTCAGACGCTGAGAAGTAAGAAAGAGAACAGGGAGATGATGAAGGATTTACTCAAAATATGGAGAAGGTTCAGCCTAAAGTAAGAGAAAAATAAAAAGTAATTAAGATGGACTTTGGAGAAAAGATGTGTTGTTATTAGTTTTTGCCATATATGTATATATGTTTTTGCCATCAAATGTGGCTTATCCCACCCCATATTACAGGTAAATGGACAGTGGACTAAAAGGACAGAGCTTAGCGATGGGTTAAGTATTTGATTTCCAACTGGGCCACCCAATCTAAAAATATTAATGTGTTACACCTCAAATTAGCTCCATAAATGTGAAAATTACAGATTCTCTCTAAACGGTCGTTCTGGCACTCAGCTTTGTGGTAGATTGCTGGGCTGCACAAGTGGGAGCTTGTTCGCGGGCATGTAGCGGGGCTAATGAGCTCGTCCCTATAGGCTACACTGTATGTGTTGGCTCACAGACTCAGGAGCTGAGGTTAGCCATCATCATGTGACAGTGGGAAGCGCTGCAACAAGAGGGGAAGCAGCCAACTGGCAGCTTTCTTGACCCCGCGCTTAATGATGCTGCCTCCATGCTCTGCTAATGAACACTGCTTGTTTCCAGACACTTTCAATTACAAAAAAAAAAAAAAAACTGCCAGTGTGGGACTCCATGTTTGTTTGTATGGGTATGTGCGTGACTGGTTCTATATTTTGGATTTTCATGTAGAGTTGTACAGGCAAATGCTACATGAAGGCTAGAGGGAGAAGAGGCAAGCATTCAGAGTGTTCTGGGAATCTTGTCAGGGTCAGGGATAGGACCTGACCTTTTCTGGCCAATCTTGCTTTGGTGTCTCTCTACCAGACTACCCCAGACACGGGCAGCTTTATTCCCTCCTCCACTGGTTTCCTTCCGTTCAATTAGTTGAAGCTGGATGGTTGACCAATAGTTGACCCTATGCTCGTCCCACGACCTCGTATCAAAGAGACCACGCCAAGTTCATTAGCCTCAGACAAGGAGCTGGGACGTTTTGGTACAGCCAAGTGGAAGCAATTGATTCGCCTTTGTGTACTGTAGCGATTTATTGTTAAAAGACTTATTTAGGGTCATAACAAAACCCTTGGCCCTGGCTCCCTGTAGCCGGGGATGCTAATCAAGGTAGGATGAAGCTACACAAAGTTCTCATGTACTTCAAGCACTCTATATACCTCCTGGTCAGTGGGGCTGAGATGACCTATTGTGAATCTATAATGTCTAAGTACTTTTTCAAATGCACTTTCAATTTTAAGGGGAACATACTGCTGAACTTATGAAACTCAATTATTTAAAAAAGAGCTTCTTCTAAGTAGAGGGCACTCTTCCAAAGTCTTTGTTAAGAGGAATGGGGTGGGTCAGGATAAAATGCTATGCATTAGCTGAACTGGAGAAGACAGCATGAGAGGGACTATGAGAGGAACATAGTGCAGTCAAGTTCAATTTTAGTCAACTGCACAGGGAATTTAAGTAGTTTCCAAGTGCCACAATTATTGCCATAATTATTATAATATGATAGAAAAAAAATACAACTGAAAATCTGCTTTTCTCCATTATTTTCTGGTATGTTACAAAAAGCATTTGGTGTTAGTTGAGTTAATGCATGTTACATGAATGTTGTCATTTGCCAACGGAGATTGTAGTAATCATGCGCCAAACTAACATTTCAAAAAACATTATTTTATGCCTATTTAATTCTCAAAGTGCTTTTAAGTGCTTCGAACATCCCTAAATGATAACCCTTTCATTTTGCTAATGACGAGGAAAGTAAATGAACTGTGGTGCTGAAAATTTTACTCAAATTAGATGACATCATAACTATGCTTATTATAGTCAGACCAGCCCTAACATGACCCATGGTGTTGGAATTGCCAACATCTAAAGTTAAGACTCAATCATCTCTGACTATACACATGCTAACCCATAAACAAACATTTGACATTTCCGTTTTGTTATGCTTTCCAAGTATTAACCAGGTATCACAGGAAACATTATTAGCCTCCACTGTGAGGATCTACTGACAGTGGGCTGCAAAGGTGACAGAAACTGTGGACAATTTGGTGGGTAGCCAGGAAAGGAGAGACAAGGGACACAAAGATGGTGGAATGGAGGACAGGGGTTGGTCAAGGTTGTGTTTGTGTATCCTGAGTCATTAAGAAATGGACGGCTAAAAGGAGAAGTGGAGGGAGACTAGATAGAAGGATACATGGAAGGTTATTGGGAGGTTAGGAGGACAGTAAAGGAGAAAGAGAAGGAGGGTGAAGTTGGGGTGTGTGTTTGCTGGGCACTGGTCGCCACAGGGGTGTTCACCTCAGGACGCAGTGACTTTGAAGGGTGTTAATGCCGACTGGGCAAAAGCACACCAGTGTGGACACGTGCGAACACACTCACTGCAGAGGGCCCAGACTGGTTTTACTGCTGATGCTGGCATTTTACTGTAGCCCATCCTCCCTCCTTCACCTCCATCCACTCTGTCCTCTCTCTCCCGCCCTCTAAATCCCCATTTCTCTTTTCCCCTGGCATAAGTTCTTTTCATTTTTGTTGTTGACCCTTTCACCTTAGTTATTTTTCCCATACAAATATGCACAACAGAAGCAATGCAAAGGTGGACACACTGCAATCTTCACAGTCCCACTTTCGGATGTTGACGGCCCAAAAAATGCAATGCATTTTTGAAAGTTTTTCAGGCTTCCTTGCATATTCTGACTAGTGTAACTGTGAATCCAGTGTTGTCAGGCAATAACATGTTTTCTTCTGTGAGGGCCCTCATTGTTGAGGTACAAAATTACCCACAGTCCTGGCATTATAACTGCAACATTAAAAAAGAAATTTCCACACTAGCCTTGGGTGGCCAAAATGGCTTTTAAGACAAGGAAGTGAATTAACACACCATGAAAGATCCATGAAAACAAGGTAGCACTGTATTTTCACTTTACAATGTCCTGATGACGTGTGCTGCATTGTGGCTTCAGTGTTTCTCTAATCTCTTATTACACAATGCTGCTTGAGACAAAAAAAATCTTTCAAGGTCGCTCTCCAATCCACTTTTACACTTCTAGCCATTAAAACTGTACAAAACTAAGTAATGTCCCTATTCCCAACTGTCTGATGACATATCAATACCAGATTAAACGTCTCAATAAGTGGTGCTTAATATTTAAATAGGGAGTGGAGGACGAAACTGGTTCTCTGATACAAAACATATTGATCAGTTGCTCATCTGTTTTGACAGATGGGAGTCCCGAGCTGCAAGAGTCATGCTGGGGGAAGCCATGCTGCTCTTCCAAGGAATGTGTGGAGAGGGAGAGAGATTTATGGAAATCAATAGAGTAGTTTGCTGAAACTCATCAATGCAGCTTCCCAGAAATATCATATGGTGTTGACACATTAGGTACAGTAGATATGTTAGAAGGACATACTGTAGGCAGACAGATAGACTGATTGTTACAACTAATGAGGCCTTCTCCTGGAGGTGATTTTTAAAATCAGTGGCATCCAGTAAACAGTGTGAAGTTTCAAACCAAAGATTAGATGTATAAAACACGAGGCTTTTACCAATGAGTTTGGTTTAGTCAAATACCTGGAAGTGGTTAACATGGAAATGTTATACTTTTTATGGACATCCTGCAGGATTTAAATGTTCAGTGCACAGTGTGGCATGGGAATGTGTGTGTGATTCAGTGAGCGAAAGAGTGGGGGAGAAAAGGGGGTCAGCGTCTGTCATGAAGGCCTAACAGACTTCCTGCCACAGCATTCAAAGTGGCCCTCTGTGTTCTCAGAGTCACTATCACAAAGCCTCACAGACTTGAACAATGAACCCCTGTTGTAATATACTGTACGCCTGGCCTTGCTTTTTAACGTAATTTTTTTTCAGTTTACATGCATACATCACTAAAATGGGTCACCACAGGCAAAAACGTCATGCGTGACAGCTCCAGTCGTCAGAGCGGCGCACAACTGTGGTGACCACTGTCACTCACTTCCTGTTGAGCACAGTTCATCTCTCTGTCTGCCAGTCTAATCTGATCTATGTCTCCTCACTGTTGACACAACAGTTCCTCAACAGCCGTGCCATATGCGCGCACATGTCAGTATTCCCTCTCTGCCTTTCCTCACAACTGACACAAAGACAAAGAACGCTGCCTTCAAATCTCAAACAAAATTTTTCCTGAAAATTTTCTTTTTTACATATTCACAGTGATAGTGCCTGATGTACTTTGGTTCTGAACTGTGAAACTAAGTTGTGTTGTGAATATTTTTCAGCACCAATGGCACCCCAAGAAATTCCTGAATTACATTTGAGTGTCCCTGAAAGTTGAAACTTGCCGTCTCAGGTTGTGTGCCAGGATAAATCATTCCTTCCTCCAGCTCACAGCAGGTGGGCAGGAGTGGAGAGTACACAGAGCTTGGCCTCCAGCTGTGAAAGCAGGCAGCAATACTGCCAAAGCAGCTGCTGACGCTAAGTGAACAATCACAGCCTTGGCCGTACTTGACATGGACAGAAGGACGGAGAAATAACAGTCTGATGCATCCAAAAGGCAGGAACTGTGTTTTTTACGTGCTTCTCAGGACACTTCTCAGAGTATTCAAGGGTTGTTTTGTTGAACAGTATGATCTATGACGTCTGTGAAGGAGCCTGCCTGAATGTGTTAGTCAATATCAGTGTGAAAGGAAAATAGCCAACTGGCTTCTGAAAAACAAAATCTCTTTTACTTATCAAAAACACCTGATGATAAAGCAAAAGGCTGAATGAAAGTAAGTAACCTTGAACTGTTTCCACTTTCATTCATTGTAAGACCTTTAAAGCAGGAAAAAAAAAACTTTTAGTACTATTTATGGCTGTTTCTTGGCTGGGACCACAAAAACAAAATAGTCCAACACACAACCTCCTGTCAAGCTCTCAAATTGTCAGTTTGGTTTCTGTACGTATTATAGACAAACAAGATACAACATGTTCATTTATGAGCTTTAGAGGTGCTTCAAGGCAACCTGTGTTACCTTTTGACAGAGCCGGGCTAGCTCTTTCCAGTCTTCATGCTTAACTAAGGTAACAGGCTCCAGACTACAGCTACACATTTACCGCACAAATATGAGCGGTATCAATCTTCCATCTAACTCTCAGCAATAAAGCTACCTGACGTATTTCCCAAAATGTATAACTATTCCTTTAACACATTTGTTTCTTTTAGTGAATTTAAGATTTTCTAATATTCTGATTTAGAGTGGTTCCACTCACCATCCATTCACGCTAATTTACATTAGAATGGTTCAAAAGACTTCAGGGGCTCCTTTTAATCCTCCAGTGGCTGACTCCTGGTTCATGTGCCTGACTTTTGAAACCCAATAAGCCATTTCAATTGCTAATGCAGAGAAAAGGAAGATTAGGGCGCCCTTCCAGACATGCAATAGGCGGCTGGTTTTAAGAGGTGGAGGAATATGGATGTGCGAAAGTAACTATACCTCAGCAAAACCATGACACCATTCTGTACCTGTTTTGCGGAGAGGGAAGTCATCTTTTGAGTCGTATGTGCCCAGCATCGGGTGGTTGTACGCTGACAATGCTGTCTGGGGAGGAGAGCTCTGGTCCAAAGAGCTGTGCTGGGTTTTTCTACAAGAAAAAAATATTTAAAAAAATGTTAAATACACCATTATAACGTGCAATATATCAAGTGAGGTCTGGCTCCATGTATGCTTGCCAAGGTCATATTATACATACTTCATCTACCTACTTTACCATACCAGACTTTCCTTAGACACACACACAAAAGGTCTAGTGACAAAGACAGCTTCCATCTCCTTCCCCAAGGTCAACACTTTAAAGGACACAGTGTTGACAAGAATGTAGAAAAAGAGACAGTGTGAAAATACATAGAGACAGGAATGGGGAAGGTGATAGATGCAGGATGAGAGGAAATATGAGGCTGAAGAAGGATAAAATGTTTGGAAGAACTGAGGAGAAAGCAAACAGGAAAGAGACTAAAGAAATGGGAGAGCTGGTGTTGGTGGTGACAGTGACAGAAAGCCATTTCCCTCACTGATGGCACACTCTTTAGATTCCTCTATCATCTCCCGCTTTGGCAGAAATGTTTGACTGCTTAAAGCCTCTTCAAATATTTAAAGCGCAGGAGAGGTGCCATTGTCTTTTCTCTGTGCCCACTTCAAACACACGCACACACAAACATACCTAAAAGAGAACCAGTTGCCAATCAAGGGCTACAAATATAGACAAAAAAAGCCTTCAACATTTTCTTTTAAGTTTTACTCAGAGGCAACTGGCAAGGACTCTCAGAGACGCTAATGTTGATGTTGGTAACTTCTTACGCACAGAGGAACATCCACACAACAGGGGCTCAAAACACCACCATGTCTGCAAAGGCACAATGATGTGCGACTTTTTATGTCGCTCATCATTGTGCCTTTTATGTTTGATATTTTCCCAGTGTGGCATTTTTTTTTTGCTTAGATGAGAAAAGGCAAAAACTAAAAGGCTCACAAAAATGGAAAAATAGCTCAGAAATATAAGGTTTCATCAGTGTGGAATGTTTCTTCTATTTAACCTTTCTTCTTTTTCTTCTCTTGTGCCTGTTTATTTCTTACACATCAAACCAACATTAAATCTATTTTACAAATCCTATGTAAATTTAAATTGTCTACTGAGATAAACTTGAATTTTCACTTAATATCACATAAATCCTTCACTGGCGTACAACCAGTCACATCCCAAAGCCATAAGTGGTTCTGTAGTGGTGGGCTGTGACACTCACCCATACCAAAAGCGTGGGTCGCTGGGCAGACAGTGGTTTAGGTTTCGCTGAGCCAGGGCTTTCTTCTTGTTCAGGACAAACTCCTGAAGTCGCATCTTAACCTCTGTACTGGCGACTGCACCTAACATAGACAGAGATACAGAAAGACATGGGAAGTTCAGTAACCAAATGTTTGTACACTTTTCCACATAACTCTACTCTATTTATTGCCCCTTACTAACACTTCCTTCAGTATTGCATTTCTGGAGAAGTTTGTGGTTCAAGGCCTCTACTGTACTGTTCCCTCCTGTACAATCTGTGACACTAACGTGAGGATTATAACAACATTCATCTACTTTTCGACAGATAATGGGTTTCTACCTACATACAGGGAGCACAATCTTGCATCAGATTTTCACTGAAATTCCACAGAGACGACAGCAGTGCTGTTTAACTCCTCAAAAGCAGCACATCATGAGTTCCACTCAGCTCCCAGTCTCTGCTCAATTACCACCCTCATTCTGTAGCTACAAACACATTGTCCAGGGAGGGAGATGTGGCCGAGAGAGAGAGAATAAGAAACCGAGAGAAAAAATGAGGAATAGAACGAGGGGAGCAATAAAGGGGGCAAAAAAAATATGTTTTGAGAATACAGAAAAAACAGTCGAGGTGTGTTTTTCTAAGAATGTGACAGCGTGAGTAATAACAGGTGATGTGTCAAGCCTGAGGGAGAAAGTGGTAAATACAACTAATATATGCTCTCTAAATCATGGTGCATCTGGAAGTGCTGACATCCCAATATATCCGCTTAGCCGCTGAAGCAAATTGGCTTTTATGAGACTGCCTTCTATGCAATTTATTGCAGTACTTAACAAAGCGCCCTCTGTTTACAACCCAATGCTCTTTCCATAGACGTCAAACTGTAGGCTCACTTTGCCCAGCAGAGAATAGTTGAGGAAAAGGACTTTAATGGCAAAAAAAATCATGGTTCCAAATGTGCGTCCACCATTAACTATATCCAAAAGGATTTCTGCTGAAATACCACATCAAAGCCTGCCAAAAACAACCCACATCAGAGCATTTTACAGCCAAACTAACAATGATCAATCTTGATAGACTGATTAACTTTACTACATGAATTAATGAGGAAATATCTCAGTTGTTATTGTCTTCATTATTGCATGTCTCGTCGTACTAATGTGAACTTTGTAACTACATGCACTGACATACAGGTTTACGCCATTTTCTTCATTTTCTTCTCAATAGCATAGAAGTATCCATTTCCAGAATATAACCAGGCTATTTACACTACAATTCTACAAACAGACATCAGAATGTTGGAAAGAAGCACCTTTACCACATTTTTAAAGCTATTCAAATCTTAAATTAAGCAACATATTCAGTAAGGGTTTATGTATTTAGCCTTTTTCAACAACATGACAATTCAAAGTGCTTTCTATAATAACTCAAGTCTTTCATGCCACCTTGTATTTGGGTGGTATAAAACAATTACAGTAAGAAGAGAAGCAATTTGACACAGCTCAAAGAACAGCTCCAAACATTTCCTCCTGCCAAAAAATTATGTAATTGTGTCAGAGGTTGTTTTAGTATTAACATCAGGACAGCATTATTTGTGAGAGCACTCTGCAGCAAGAGCAGCTCCTGACAATACAGGTATCACCAGTGCTCTAAAATCCTGATGATAAATATTATAAGAGTATATAAGAGTAGTAGATAATAAGGCTAAACTGTCAGCTTCTTAACAACCTGTCTATCATCTGACAGTAGAAAGTTGTATAAATGTCACCGTGTTCCCAGATCTCAGCCAGCAGTTTGGCGAGTACAGTGGTATCATAAAAGATGCAATGATGGCCAAAGTCATAAAAATAAGACCCAAGTTGAAATGAGCAAATCATCCTTTAGAAGGAAGCAAAAGTAAATGACAAAGAACACATTACAAAAACAAGGGCACTTGAATGTCTTGCTCCTTTCGCCTTGTCTTGGCCGTCCCACTCTGATATTCCCTGCGGTAAAGGTGTGAGGTCAGGCTGTTCTGACTGCTGGGCCAAAAGGACAGGTGCTGTGACAGAGGGTCTGGAAGGACCAAGACTCTCTTACACCTGCTGTGATAAAATGACACAGTGCTTCAGCACAGTTACGACAGATGTTGGTAGCGTTCAGGAGATGGAGAGGGAATATATGCTAAGTCAAACATGACAGCTTCATTTAGAGCTTGACACCTCTGAACCACAGGAATGCAGACCCACTAACACTCGTAACTGATCTCAAGCATCTCACTTTACATGTTATTCAATAAATTCGCTCTAGGTATGCCAGTGGTCTTAGCAACTCACTACATTTTCATCACAGCATAATAAAATTTTTAGATGCCATGTAAAATGAAGGCATTGAAATATTGTTCTGCTTTAACAGAATGGGAGTTTTTGTTACTACAGCCGCCCAATGTTGTTACAAAAGGTAAGGTTCAATCTTTTTCTTGAAACAATCAAATTCACTAGCAGGTGCTACTTACTCTCCTGACCCCTGTCCTTGTTTTTGAGCTGTTGGAGTTTGTACTCCCGCTGCTGCTTCTCCATCTCCTGCTCGTGACGCTGGTGCTCCATCTTCCTTTGGTGCTCCAACAGCTCCTGTTGGTGCTTGAGTGCCAGTAAATCCTGTTGGTGCTGGCAGAGAGGAAGACAAGAACACTGAAAGATGGAAGAGTAAGAGGAGACATAGAAGATGGGACACTGCACAGGGTGGGCAAAACATATCAAAACTGAGGAGACATTGTTCTGATAGAGGTGCAGCCATGGCCTACTAAAAAGAATCAATAATTTGATCACCAGTCTAATAATGAGCTCTACTCTAAACTGGAGACTGAGCAGATTGGAGAACACACATCAGAGTTATTTTCATGCCAGACTGATCGTCCTTATTGGCTGATTTTGTGGTCGTGGCAACACCAGTGAGGCTTTTCAGCAAAGTGAGTCGCATATCAAAATTGAAACACACACACACACACACACACACACACACACACACACACACACACACACACACACACACACACACACACACACACATACATACACACATACACACACACACACACACACACACACACACAGACAGTTTATTAGGTTCCCATGGAGATGACTAAGCAGCAAAATACTGCTACCAGATCAAATTACACACATCACTTAACTGTACACATGCACATGCTTCCTCCTGTCCTTCACAAGGTGTGTTTCTGCTGAGTGCAGTCTTACAGTATCTGTATCCAGGGAAGGACTCTCTCCTCATCCACATACACACATACACACACACACACACACACACACACACATACACACACACACCTTGATATGTTCCTGCAGCTGGACTTCATGTTGTCGCGACAGCTGTTCATGCTGCCTCTGGAACTCAGCGATCAGTAGCTGTCTCTGGAGCTGCTGCTTGTGTTTGAGAGCTACCAGCTCCTGCTGCAGCTGCTGCTCCTGGTGGTCTGTAGGAGATTTTCAAGACTTTATCATTCAGAGCATCTGTGTCGAGGGGCGTGTTTGTATTACATAGCCAGGATACGACTTTTAACCGTGACAATCAGAAATCCCTACTCACTAATGACTGTCCCACGGCCTGGCTCGGAGGACGCGGGACAAGCTGTGGAGGTGGGCGGTGTAGGGTGGGGTTGGGGAACCAGGCCGAAGGTGGGCTGCTGGTGGTGGTGGTGGTGGGGGTGGTCCACTACGCGCAGGTCCATGGGAAGAATGGCTGTGGCGGTGGGGGGCACCTGCATGGGCAGCGCTGCTGTGCTCACGTCCACTGGAAGAGGAGAGACAGAAGATGGAAGAATGGGAGAAACAAGCAGAGTTTGTCAAGAACATGCAGGAATAAAGAATCCACCATGCTAAATCACAGGCTAAATATGAACAACAAAATAGAATCAGAAACATACTGAACCATCTATAGCAATGACAGGTCAACACACACATACACACCTTTTTATGTAAATAATTATAAAAATGAAAACACAAAAAAAGGAGGATTCCCACAGAGATATGTACAGAGTCTCTGCTTTCCACAGTTAAGACTCCCTACCCTAGAGATTAACATCTTAGTCCCAAAATTTGCCTCGGTGTACAACATGCAACTATGTGCGTGTCTGTGCCATAAAGATTTTGACCCCAAGAGCAGATTTGTCTCTGAGGGTTGCAGAGTTAAACTTGGCAGGAAAAAATAAAATTCTTACTACAGTGTTGAGTTGGAGATCTTCAACACGGCTAAAAGCCCAAACTCTTATGGGAGTTATTAAAGAAGAAAAAAAGACTTAGGGGAAATAGAAAATTCATGTAATTTTCTTCTCAGAATATCTGTTTATAGTACAATTACATAATTAATTCAAGGTCCAAACTGTTTAAAGTCGTTTGATAGCAGCCAAAATACCCTGTCATCTCTGATCCAAATAAGACACATGAACACTTGTTACATCAGCTTTCTGGACACTGCAGCCTTGACTGTTGCACTCAGCAATTCACTTCATGCTGGTTGCTTGTAGTGTTGGCAAACTAGGGAAATAAGCCTGTTTTAGAGTTGTACACATTCGGTAAGAGCATTAGCAAAACACTAAAAACATCAAATGTGTGTGATTAAGAGAGCCAGAGATCATCAGAGGGACAGTTTGTGCTGTGGTGGGAGCAAAGTGTACAGGAAGTGTCCTTCATACACATATCCATATAAACAGAGAAAATCTGTGCACACATTTTCTCTACACAGATGACAACATAGACATTTGCACACATGGTTAAAATGATGAGACATGGCAGCAGAGAGCAAAAACAATCCCCCTGAAACATGAGTTTTGCAGCAGGGATTTGCTGACACGCATACAGACTTACGGTGTGTATTTGTGTGTGTGTGTGTGTGTGTGTGTGTGTGTGTGTGTGTGTTTCCACTTTGACTGTGTATATGTGAACAGTAACACTACATTTTGCTCATTGTAAGTGCAATGCTGATAGTGTACTGTGTATTTGTGCTCTGTGCGTGTCTTCTACAGAAAAAGAAAAGTTGTGTCTGATGTTGAAGGAGAAGAGCATAGACAACAATATGCCCCAAAATACACACACTCTGTGTCGGTCACAATCTACTACACATAGAGACACTGCACAAACACACAGGGTTAGATATAACATCCTAAAACAAAAAGGTCACCAGTATGAGCCAAGCCCTCCTTGCACCTAGTCAAATAAAACTTAAAGCGCCTGAGACAAAAACAGTTTATGTTACATTCCTTATGTTACATTACATCTACAACTTGTAACATGTATGCTGCTTTATTTTTATATTATCCAGTGAAGTAGTACAGAAGCACAGAACAAACACAGAAAAAGCGATATCGCTGCATCAACATGCTTGACATGCAAAAATAGTATTAGTATTAGTGCAATCAGATTATTTCTCCAAAACAAGTAAACAACATTGAAGCTTGCCCACAAACAGTAGCATAACCCGACAACACAACACTAAATAAAACAAGCACGAATGCAAACAAAATCTTTGCCAACTTTAAAGCCTTGACGTTAATTGGAATATGGCATGCTGTGATCACACACTGTCAACATGCTACTTTATTTATTATACTTTATAATATTTGCAGGTTTAATTATTCATCGAACTGGCAGCTCTGTTTGTACAATTAAGAGATGCAGCATGAGCTTTATATGTGTAGGTGTGTGAAAGTTTGATTTAGTTTATATAAAGACATAGCAGCAAGGTGAACAAGATCTCTCGTTTTAGCTTCAGTGTGTTAGAAAAAAACCAAGATTTTTATAGACAACAAGTCAGCAAGGCTTTAAAGTTCAGTATGACAAAATCTTCCAACTTTGATGTAACCAAAGCAATTCTCAATTTGTGCTTGATATCTGAACTCAAGATCAAAACCTCCTGTGTATCATCCAGTCTACTCTTTCCTGATCGATATGTGCTCCCTAGAGAATCACCTTGCACCATGCCAAGCCCTCTGTCAGTCATCAATACCCTGAAACCAGTTGAGAGCATCTCCGACCTATCATGGATGTGCTGGCATCCCCAGTGACCAATGAGGTGGCGGTGGAGTTGCAGTTATTTGCTGAGATAACCAATGACATCTTTGGTACTGGGCAGGTTTTCAGTGCGGGAGGAAACTTAACACCACCCAACGGGACAGCATGGAGAGAAGAAAGGGTGTGGCCGGGCCAGACATGCTGGTGCTTCAATGGTGCGTGTGTGTGTGTGTGTGTGTGTGTGTGTGTGTGTGTGTGTGTGTGTGTGTGTGTGTGTGTGTGTGTGTGTGTGTAATTGTATCACTATACTTGTACGGACTTGTTTGAAAGCTGGACATTACATGTAACTGCTTTATTTGTTGGGAGCCTTAGCTTGAAAATATGAAAGAGCAGGATTAAAGCCAAAGGTAAGGGTTTGATTTACAGAGTCAACATAAATCAGGCTCACGTCAACAACATCAATATCTTTTACAATGGTTATGTACCGATGAGGAAGCCGTGTGCACATGTGCATGTTAAACTGATTGCTGGACCTCTGACCCACAAACTTGTATATTTCACTTCCAGATTAGCAAGCATATTGAAAGACGGTCACATTCTCACTCAGAACAATCTGTGCCAATTATCCATGTTTTTCAAACAAAGCTTTTCCAGTGAACTATGGTAAACTCTCAGCCCACCACCTCTCACATTCGCTGTACACACATACATTTACACACATGCCTGTCAACTGTTTACACATACACTTAATAGGCAGTAAACAACAAAGTGAAATAAACAACACCCCTTTTGCGGGGTCAGTGCTCTTCGAACGGATTGTCAGTCTTCATATTAGAGCCCTTTCAGAGGGACCCCTGCGCCAACTATTCTAGCACCACGGTGCCAAACATGCATAAAGCATCATCTCAATTAATGCCTTTTCTATTGTTTATGGTCCCATGCAGACTTGGGTCGGCAAGGCCGGCCCCTGGAGTTAGCCTAACACTCATTTGAAGGTGGTCTGCATATGGCCAACATTATTTTAGCAGTGTGTATGGGAATGTGTTCTGGGTTACACCGAAGTAGGAACGCCTACTCAACTGACATCCTCTGTGTGAGCGGAAGAATGTACTTGCGTACTAACAGCGTCATATTAAAGAGCGAGACAAACAAACATGCACTGATGAGGAAGCCAGGTGCACATGTGCGTGTTAAAATGACGCAGGGACCTCTGACCTACAAACTTGTACGTTTCACTTCCAGATTAACAAGCATATAGAAAGACAGTCACATTAGAAGATGCCACTGTTTGTCATTCTCACTCAACAAACTGTGCCAATCACCCGTGTTATCCAAACAAAGCCTTTCCCAGTGAACCATAGTGAACCACTCCTCACATTCGCTGTACACAAATACATTTACACACATATGCCTGTCAACTGTTTACACACAATCACAGTTTGATAAGCCGTAAACAACAAGGTCAAATAAACAAAACCTGCTGTTGGGTCAGTGCACTTCAAAGTGCCACTCTTCATATTAGTACCCGTTTAGAGGGACCCTGGCGCCAGCTATTCTTGCACCATGGTTCCAAACATGCAAGGAGCATCACCTCAATTAACGCCTTTTCTACAGTATACTTTCCCATACAAACTTGCGTTGGCAAGGTTGGCCCCTGAAGTTGGCCTAGCACTCGCTCTCAACTCCTATTTGTGTACGGTTCCACAAGAGCGTTACTAAGCAAGCATGCCACAGGATTCACAAAGGCTGTTTGTTTTCGTTGACAAGTGGGGCTCCCATTCTCAAAACTACAAAACAGAAAATATAAACACTCTGCTCCTGTGCTTTCACATGCAACGACAAACTAAGAGCTATTGGGAAAATGAATGGCAAACACAAATTAAGTAATCTTTGACATCTACTGGATATACAGAATTTTACCAGCAAACACTGCCAGGTCTCTTGCAAGCCCCAAACAAGTATTCTACTTCCTTGTACGGTGGCGTGTACCTGAAATGATGAAAACTAAGTAAGCTGGATAATAAAAGATACCAAAGACAAACATTTACAAAGAGGTTGATATGCAGTATCATGATGCGTGAGACAAACAGGTCAGATTTGAGTGTCTTTGCCAACTTAAACCACCAAAACTATCCTGTGCACTTGTGATAAGAGGTGGCCTGAGCACATGGAAATGCAGCCATAATCCCATGCAAAAATGGTTAACAAAACTGTGTCACCTGATGAATAAACAACCTAAGCTGCACCTAACTAGACCGAGGCACAAGCACAAAAGAGTACACTTCCTCTTCCCCCACAATGGAAATGCACCAGCGTCTATGCAAAAGTTATTTTTTGCATAATTTTGTTTTGTGTCATTTTTTCATCTGCAGTATAATGTACACGTTTTATGTATTATTAAATACTCTGGAAGTATGGCTTTGAGCTGTGTAAGCATGAAGGTCAACAGCAACTGTGCCCACACCATGTTTCTCCTCACAGACTAATATAGTACATTTAAATTCTTCTTAAATTCTGTGTGTTTCACTCTGTTAACATAACCGGTCGCTTACAGACCAGTGATCAATGACCGGCTACAAGGCTTATGCAAGGTAGAAAAAAAACAACCTAATTACAGCCACTTATCCTCAAGTTGAGGGGCTATATCAGGTGGCACAGAGGGACAGAGAGTGAGAGGGAGGCGGTGGAAACGCTGCTCAGACCAGCAACTCGGAGGCTAATCACACTGGCAGGCACATTAACATTGTACTGGGGGCCACAGCCGTCTGCTGGTTCTGATGTTTT